TGAATCAGCTGGTTCCTAAGGTTTTACTTAGCTCTACAGTCAATGAAATGCTGTATTTATTGTCTCTTACATATATATATAGACTCATTCTATTATCCAAAGATGGGAAGATAAGGGATTTTCCTAGTGGTTGTGATAGGATTTTATGTATATCTGATTTAGGAAACAATGTAGTACCCTAGGGGTTCTCTGCAGAGGTGTCTCAGGCAAAAGTCTCTCATTTCATCCCTCCTCAGCAGCTCCACAATTACTACTGCTTAACTCTTTGTAGTCCACACCCCTCTGGGTTGCCATAGAATTTGCTCTATGATTCATTGCACTCTGCCACTATCCCTGGCTGGGAGATTTGGCAAGTCTTTATAAAACTATGTCTTAGGGGAAAGAAGATAATGGTGTTCTTCTTTTTATCTAACATTCTTTCTCTCTTCTGTTTAAAATATACACCTGTTAATTGAAGTTAAAATCCTCTGCCTGGGGGGGGGGCGCCTCCCTTGGTGGCACAGGTGTTAAGCCTCAGCACTATCAAGCTATCATTAGGCACTGCAGCAAGAGTTCCATCCTGGCAAGAGAGCTAACCCACATAGTGCAGCAGACCTCGCTGCTCCCCTCAGCAGTGTATTTCAGTACATCTGCCTGTTCTGCTCCCCACACTGTCTCTGGTATTTCCTCTTATCCCCCTGCACCTCTGGCCTGTACCCCAGTTCTTGTATGCATAAATAAAATAAATTTTAAAAACAACAACAAAAAAACAATGTCATGGTTATGTAACATTGGTAATGACAAAACAAGAGGGCTAGGTGTTATTGCTGTATTCCCCAATCCTGGAATACTGAAGCTCATTTATTGAGCATGCAGTAGATATTCAGTAAATATTTGCCCTGGGAATTGTATGCAGTGGAAAACTAGTACTATTTTAGCATTGCTAAAATAGTTGAATGTTGACTTCTCAAGAGTTAGCTGCTGCATGTAAATTGCCTGCTGCTGGAAATTGCTATGCTTAGGCCTCCCAATCCAAGGAGCTGCCCTCAGGGTCATTTTGTGCCAGGCCATACACAAAACAGTGAACTATGTGAATTCATGCTTGGGTTGAAAAATCCAAGACAAAATACCCCTTTGGAGTTTGTATATGATGAGGTTGTTCCATATCATCCCAGAGAACTAGAGAGCAGGAAGACAGTTAAGGCACTAAGGGCCTCCCTGGTGGCCCAGGGGTTAAAGTCTCAGCGCTATCAAGCTATCTCCAGCCACTGCACAACGAGTTTGATACCTGGCCAGGGAGCTGACCCACCCGGCACAGTAGACCTCTCTCTCCGCTCCCTCAGTAGTATATTTCAGTCAGTCTGCCTGTTCTGTCCTCCACTCTGTCTCTGGTGAATCCTCTCACCCCCTAACATCTCTAGCCTGTACCTCACTTCTTGTATGCATAAATAAATCTTTTTTAAAAATTAAAAAAAAAGTTAAGGCACTAATGACCAAATATTAATCTTTAAGATAATCTTTAAATATGCAGTGAGATATGACTTTGAATAGTCTTACATTTGGGATTTTGTGAGGTCCATACTGAAGTGTTAAGGCCCCATGCCCCCAAAGTGCTAGTCTTCAAGCACATCAGCTCAATTCTTGATATTAATCACTTAAAGGCATTAAAAAGTAGTAGTTACCAGTTGGCTTGAAACCCTGACCTCTTTACCTGTAAAATAGGGGTGGTACATACCACTACCAGGCATTGTTGTAAAGGGAGGTTAGCTAACACAGTAGTGTGTGTACACATGTGGTGGTTACCCTCACTCAGCATCTTAATAAGCATAGACCTTGCATGGTAAGAAAATCTTGGCTGGGCATGTCAGTAACTTCAAAGATTTATAGATGTTTTACTACTTAAGCTCACAGAACTTTGTGGAAAAGGCCAAACAAAGCAGTTTAACTTCATATTTATGCAAGGCTAGTCAAAGTATGGAGATGTAGAAGCTTCCAAGTAGTTATTTCAATGGAGAGACTATGCAAATGCTAGCCACGAGTCCAGCAGTAACCAAATTCAAACAATGGCCAAAAAAAAAAAAAAAAAAAAAATCTGGAAAATACTATGAAAACTTACTTTGAAAGAGCTAGCTAGCATATCCCTTTTGCAGGTTATACTCCAAAGTTGAGTGTAAGAAAAGTACTACACAGTTCTTGCAAAACTCCTTAGAAGTATGCCACGAGGAAACACACTATTTCTTGTCAATTAATCCAACATAACAGCTAGATTTTCTTTCTGGTATCCCACCAGATTAAGTACTTGGCTTGTGTTTAGAGGTCATATTATTTGGACACTATATCTTTTCACACTAAAGAGATAAATATGTTCAAGTTCTTTAATACAAACACGTAGGAACCCACCAAGTGAACTGCAAATCTGCATTTCCCATCTCATGTTTGCCCCACAGGATAAATTCCGAGTAAAACAAATGGAGCTGACCATATTAAAGAGATCATTTATTCCATGGTTATATGCAAATGGCTAAAGAGTGCTATCATTTTAGAAATACCCCTATGATTTCACTCTCTAGCTATTTTAACTGTTGGATCAGGAGCCATGTATGAAATTCATTTTAAATTGTAACCCAATGCATATATATGTATGTGTGTGTGTGTATACACATGAAAAAGATTCACAAAATATTTCTTTATTATATGCTATGTACTTGATCTATTACATTCTATCTTTTAAAAAAATTAGGTTGCAACTGTTCCCTCGATCCATAGCTGGGTTACAATCTTGATTCAAGAACACCAAATTGGAGTTATTGCAAGCTCTTAACTACTCCTAGAAATATGCTGGGTAGTATATTGGGTTAAGGAAAACAGGCAAGCACATTTGTCCATAATATTTTAATACTTTTTCACTTTTAAATACTGGTCTTAATTTTGTGATTGTAACATGGAAGATCCAACTTTATTTTTAAAAAACATCATCAGAATCATAAAGCTATTATAGAATAGTTACACTCTACACACTCCCAAGGTACTTTAAAATGATTATGTTTTGAGTTTGTAGATGAACAACAATAATCCAAATACATCGTCTGTACAACTTGGACTAAATACTGGTGAAAGTGTTTAACTGGACAAACAACTGATAGGCATAAAGATAACCAGCACAATCACAAGAGAACCAGCTCAGCCCAACTAAAATTTTCTCAATAGCAATGGACACTGATGTTGTATAGGTGTACAAATTAGTTGGTTAAACTGAACAAATGGGAAACCCATTCCGCCTTTGCCTTCATTTGTATTCTTACACCTCCCTTCCAGTCATTCCCCTTCTTGGGCTGGCTGCCCCTGTGTCAATCTCAAGCTAAAAGCTGTTATGATCACTCTCTACCTCAAAATCGCAAGTCCCAAATTCCGAGTGAAACACTGCTTTCTTGTCCTGTACAGTGGCCACTCAGGGAGAAAATCTCTCACCAATATTTTTTCAAGTTTCTATCACGTACAAAAGAATAACTGAGTAGAAAAGAGAGTAAAAAGATAATTTTTTTTTTTTTTGCTTGGGGAAGAGAAGTAGGAAATATCTGTGGATGAGAAAATATCATGTAGAAATTAGCCAGACAGAAATAATTCTAGAGGGTCTGAATATTGTCAAAAAAGGCTAGTACCTCTACAAATTTTGACCTCTATTAAATTATTTTCATAGTCCCCAGCACATTTCTAAATCTGGTTGGAAGGGATTAACGCTAGTGAAGTACCAGTGCAGTTATCTAAAGGCAAAATGTATCTTTTTTATACAAATATTTCTAGTGTAATCATTTTATTTACAGAATAAATTGCAAAAGTATATTGTCAACATTTAGTGCAAACACAACTAAAGATAATTAGATTTGATACTGCTTTGTACACTTTCCATACCTTTGTAAAATAAAGCTATCCAATTTAATTATGAAAATTATTTGTCTGTGATCATGATAGCTACCAGAAACAGCAAAGAGAATAATTTATAGTGGGCATAGAGAAATTTTTTGAAGATTTCTGTCAGTGGCTGTGGTAGATAAACATTCCCACCCCAACATTCCCCCCACCCCACCCCCACCACAATCCCATCTCAACCGCACAGCTGGTTGTAAAATAAAATACACATTTGAGGTATAAACTTTTCTTTTTAAACATCACAATATAAAATGTTAACTGGTAATGTAGTAAACTGATAGGATAATTTGTCTTATTTGCCTTAGTAGCATTACCACCATGTAGGCACTTCCACATAGTCAAATTATGAACAGTATTTTTCTGTAATAAGGCATATTCCATGCACATTATTGAGAGAAACGTAAATTAAAAAATAGAAAAGATTTAAGGAGCATGAATCTGCGTGCATGTAATCTAAGCTTATGTCTTATATGTATTTTCTCTCTGTACATAATAATAAATACCACTATATCTGATGCAAGTAATTCACTTCCAGGATTGTGCATATTAAGTGATCAGACTAATCCCATCATTAAATTATCACCTTGCATTTATCATTAAGACACCATTACCATGTATGAAATATATACAGGACATGTTTCACATGATATGACTTTCTGATTTTTAAAGTGGGTCTGATTTCTGTGTTTCTATAGAGATGAACAAGTCAGCAAATAATCTACAAAAGCCTCTGATTTATGTAAGCACATTTGTGTCTTAGCACAATGAAGATTTTGAAGTGGGCAGTCATTTTTACTTCAACGAGTACCATTCCTTGCCTCAACTCCATGCTTCAAAGTTTTTTACAGAGGCCTAAAACTAAAAAAAGATATTTTACATTTAAGTTCTTACAGCGACCAAGGAAAGAATTTCAGTTTGAATTACATGGAATCCTTTACTGCTCTGCTGAAGGTTCTGATCAAGAGGCAAACAGCATCGCTCCCATGTTCAATACATGTCTTGCAACATATTTTTTTAAACTGACCCAAATGAGAAGAACATCACATATTTAGAAACTAGAAACACTGAATCAAATGTCAAACCCAGTCTGATTCGCTTTAACAAGCACCACATCTCCTCCTATAATTCCAGGCAAATATGAGCTTGTTTTATCCTGACTGTTTTACGAGAAAGTAGTTTATACCCACAAAATTCGTATCGATGTTTCTGTTTAGAGGCAGGCAGATTCAACTGAGGAATTACCAAATTGTGTTTGTAACAAACTGAAAAAAATCTGTAGCACACAATACACAACTAAAAAATACAATAGAAATATAAAGATATCTGGGGGAAAAAAATAAAGCTTTCACTCTTTCTCCATCAGAACCAAGGTTCTTCATTGGAGTTAAGACTAATATAAAAGGCAAAATCACAGATTATTGACAGCCCTCAGTTATTAAGAGACATTTTACATGACAATGTGAATCATTATAGAAATCAGCAGCAATTAATTCTATGATTATACAAAGCAAAAAAGTCAAAAAGTTCTGGACACAGATTTCACTGAAGGCCTAAAAGAAGAACCCCATCCAGATTATTTGGTGCACAGAAAGCACATTCTCCATGTGCGTTCAACATTTGTGCTTTTCTTTTGTGCACAAAATCTGATACAACTGAGGCTCTTAGGCCGGACCATAGTAAATTAAAAATTCTGAAAAAGTTTCCAAAATTAAAGCATTAATTCCTACTTGTGATCCAAAGTTGATTTTTTTTCTTTTCTAGAAGCAAGCAAATAAAAATATAGCCATATACATGTAATTGTACATGTATTTATAGTAGTTATAGGCTGAGCAAGGAGATCTAGCAGGATACAGCTAGTGTTAGATGTTCAGCTTAGCTATTGCAGTATTTCTTCATTTTGTACACAAGGCCAAGGGGTTGGGCCACAGACAAGGCTGTAGATCCTATGTTCCAGCTTAGAGCATCGCTTTTGTTTTTTTAGTTTTTCCTCCAACATGGAATGTCACACAGCCTTGTTTCAGTAACTGTAGGAAAGAAAATGAAAAGGAAAAACTCATCAATACATTATTTCTAATAGTTGCAAAACTACTAGATCTACTATTTGAATTCATAGGCTGAACAGAATTTCTACTAAAATTTATATTTCAAGGATTTCTACTTTAAAGAATATGAGCCTTATTATTTGAAACTTATCCCATCAACAAAGAATAGTAGGTATAAGGACTCTTTTGAAAGTCAGAAAAAATTTAAATAGGCAAACAAGTAAACAAAGAGGAACCCAATCACAGGCCTCTGGATTTGTACCCTGTCAGCTTTCCTTTTTAGTCTTCAATGAAAATTATGCTTCATAATACCACTTATCAATAATCTGAAAAACTGATTTAGGCTATAGGAAAGAGGCTTGCCTTATTTTAAGAAATAAACATGCTCAGACTTTCCTTGTTAAATGTGTTTAAGAGGGCCTCCCCGGTGGCGCAGCGGTTGAGCACTGGGTTGCGAAGCTGCCCGCAGCCTCTGCAGCGCCAGTTCGATCCCCGGCTGCTCCCCGGCCACCGGAGGAGGGTCCCACATGGCGCGCAGACCTCTCCTGCCGTCCACTGCTCCCCCCAGCAGTGTACTTTGGTCTTTCTGCCTGCTCTGCTCCCAGCTCTGGCTCTGGTGAATTCTCTCACCCTCCTGCGCTTCTGACTGTACCCAGCACTTGTATAAATAAATGAATAAATCTTTAAATGTGTTTAACAGTTTTGACTAAAGGAGTTTTAAATATATCTGGACCTCATTAATTCTTTATTGAATTTCCCCAAAGATGAAAGTTACTATTTCTTTGAACCAAAATTGAGAAAGCTAGCTCTCCTGAGGTTTTATATATATATTTTTGAAAGATTTATTTATTTATTTATACAAGCACTGGGTACAGTCAGAAGCGCAGGAGGGTGAGAGAATTCACCAGAGACAGAGCGAGGAACAGGATAGGCAGACTGAAGAAGTACCCTGCTGAAGGGAGCAGTGGGCATGGCAGGAGAGGTCTATGTGCCATGTGGGACCCTCGCCAGTGGCCGGGGATTGAACCAGCGCTGCAGAGGCTACGGGCAGCTTTGCAGCCCAGCGCTCAACCACTGTGCCACCCGGGAGGCCTTCCTGAGGTTTTAATGCTAGGATCTACTTTATGTATACATCTTCTAAATTACCGTGAGGCAATATTTAACTAAAATAGTATTTACTTTAGGTAAAAACAGATGTTTACCACATGGTAGAGTCTGAATTTGGTTCAAAAGCTCAACCTGGGGGCCTCTCTGGTGGCACAGGGGTTAAGCAAAGCATTGTGAAGCTACCGCAGCCTCTGCAGTATGAGTTCGTTCCCCGGCCAGCCAGCGAGCTGACCCACATGGCGCAGCAGACCTCTCCTGCCTTGCCTGCTGCTCCCCTCAGCAGTGTATTTTGGTCAATCCACCTGTTCTGTCTCCACTCTGTCTCTGGTGAATCCTCTCACTCCCTGTACCTCTAGCCTGTACCCCAGTTCTTGTATGCGTAAATATATCTTCAAAAAAAAAAAAACTCAACCAAGTTAGTCTTTTCAGTTCTACCTTTACAATCACACACACACACACACACACACACACACACATACGTCCACAAACAGTTACCCCGTTACCCTGAGATAATTTTTTTCAAAGAATATTTACTGCTTCCCTAGTAGATCTACACAAAAAAAGAATGTATGTATTTGCCTGAGCATGCACAAATATACAGCCAGCCAATAAAACACTGCCACAAAACTGACAGTATAGAGGCAAATGCTTTTAATATGTTAACATGTATTTTTCAAGTGCTTAAAAAATTCTTCTTCTCAAACAACTGAGGGCATATTCTACATACAACTCCATTACGATTTTGTTTGTTCAATACACACATTTTCTGCCCTGCTTGGCAAGGCTGGGCTTAGTGGTGAAGAAGATAGAATGCAGATACAACTGCATATTTGGACCTGGTTAGAGCAAACAGCAACTCTAGAATTTTAAGGCAGTGGAGAGAGGCATCCAGCTAAGTGAGGTAGGGGACAAGCCTGCTGCCATCATGTGGCACTGGGCTTTTTGACTTAATTGATACTGTGCAGAGACAGAATTAATGTTATGTGTCTAGATCAAGCCATAATGATTCCAAAGTATAAGATATACTAAAAATAATGCATTCATGCAGTGCATTTATGCTTGAAGAGAGAATCCTTTGAAGACAAGATTGTATTCTCAAAAAACTAACCATTCAGGTAAGACCAGAACCTGTTTTAACATTTTCAGCTAACTTTTTTCCCCAGGAAAAGCTAAATATCTGGGACATCAATGGGATAACCCTTGTGTTAGTGTCTGACACATAAAATCTAGTCTTTCAGGTTTTTCTTTTTTAAAATTAATAAATACTGTAAATAGCATCAGAAACCGGACTTAATTAAAAAGATCAGTTATTATATGGTTATGGACTATACTATTTTTATCATTTAAAAATAAAACTATATTAAACTATAGCAGAGTATTTTTTACCGATCAAATTGGAAAATTCAGTTTTATTTCACACACTGTGTGAAAGGGTACAGGCAAACAATCAAATGCATTACTGCTGAAGAGATGACTAACGCAAACTCCACAGAATGCATTAATTACAAATCCCCTCAGAAAAGTCACATCTAGTAATTTACCCTACAGATAAACTTGCAAATACAAAATGACATATGATTATAGTTGCAACACTGTTCCAGCAAAAATTGGAAACAACTTTACTACATACCAGCTGAGAACTGGCTAGATAAGTTGTGTATATCCATACAAGATACATAGTTTATACATAAACTATAAGAAAATGAGGACTCTGTACACTGATGGAAAGACCTTCAAGATGTGCAAAAACAAGATGCAGGACAGTGTGTACAGCATGCTATCTTTTCTTCAACAACAAAAAAGTGTATGTGGAGGATTACATTTGTATTTGTTCAGATATTAAAAAAAATGGAAAAATACACAAGAAACAATTAACAGCAGTTACACACATGTGTGTGGGTAGGGGAACAGAGAGGGAGAGGGAAGGGGAGGTAAAACCTGGTGGCCAAGTAGCAGGGGATACTTTCTTCTTCTTTCTTTTCCTTTTAAAGATTTTATTTATTTATGCATAGAAGTACTGGGCTGTAGGACAGAGGTGTAGGGGGTGAGAGGGTATACCAGAGACAGAGTGGGGAGCAGAACACGTGGAATTACTGAAATACACTACTGAGGGGAGCAGCGGGCAGGAGAGGTTCTCTGCACCATATATAGGTCAGCTCCCTGGCTGGTGATCAAATTCAGGCTGCAGTGGTTTTAGCATGATAGTGCTAAGGCTGAACCCCTGTGCTACCAGGGAGGCCCCAAATTTCATCATATATATTTTCATAATTTTGATTTATGAAGTATGTTAACATAGCACTTATTTTAAAAAAAATTGAAGATTCCAACTCCATGAGTACAGATGTTTGGGGAAGCTTTGACAGTAAAAATATGCAACTAATCCAGACATTACCGTGGGACTGGCTGACAAAGTCTCACATTCCTCTAACAAATATTTTTTTAAAAAGACAGCTTTATACATCTTGTATTTTGATGTAAAAGATAGGAGATGTATAATCAAGATATATTGTTAAGTAGAAAAAACGTATTAGAATATTTTTTTAAAACAGCGATCAAAAATAAATCGTACACACACACACACACACACACACACACACACACACACACACACACTAGAAGACTACGTGGTAAGTTAACAGCCATTTCTGGAAAGGGAAAAATATAAGGGGATTTTGTACTTATGAAATTCTATACTTTTGTAGTTTTATAATGTTGAAATTTATTTTTATTCATTCATGCATACATTTATTATTATTCAAAAGGGCAGATTTATTATGAAAAAGAAGTGAAAAGTAAAGAATACTTGCACGGACACAAGGAGGCAGAAAGAACTGCCCCTGAAAGGGATAGGTTTGTTACAAGAGAGTCCTGCATAGTCACAGGCCAGCAAGACACCTGTGCCAGTTGAAACTTTTTTAAATTAAAAAGAGGTATTATCCAAAAAAAGCTACTATCTCATATAAACAAATAAAGGAATGAAAAAAATACATTTTAAAAGCTATAAAAACTGTAACTGTGAACAGCATAAAACACAGAAACTACTTTTGACAATTAACTGAAAATTTAATATCTGTAGTCATACTAGTCAAATAAAGCTTACAAAAAGGGTAACACATATTTTCTAGTACCTGTCAATACTAGAACAATATAGATTTTCCTGCAGTTTTTTCTTGGACGTAAGAAGTAAAACGTTTTAGAAACTTTGGATATTCCCGCTTTGCCACTGCCCTTAACACTGAAGCCGGTGCCCATCCTCCAGGGTTTACTGTGAGATAAAGAAAATTAGAACCTGTTAAGATACAATTTTTCCAAATACACATAACACTTACTTTCTTTGCTTTTAAAAAATTCCTTACACTGGAACAATTAGCATCTCTTAAACTCTTCACCATTAACTCCTTAATACTAATCAGTAAACAAAAATAGATAGTAAATAAGAAAGCATTTATTACCTTTCTAAAATGTTATTGGTTCTAAATTATGTGCAAATATTAAGTGTAGCAACACTTTAGGTTACTTATGGAAAATTTATTCATGAAATTCTACCCAAACAGTAAATTACTTAGGCAAAAATTTTTTTTTAAATACTAGCAGCTATGGTGGTCCTGCGTAGTGAAGAAAGTTTGGGTATTTGACTAAAGAGACTACAATAACTACTGCAGGTGTAGTTAAGACATCATAGTAAGTGGTCAACAGTGAATAGGCTGTCTAGCAGCAGGCCATTGTGAAATAAACAGTAAGGACTAGTGGAGTAATAATTCAGAAAATGGAAAACAAGGAAAAAATGTTTAATTTCTTTTCCCACTTGTTTATATTCCTAATTATATACAAGTAATTATATATGTAAAATTAAATATATATAAAATTAAGAAATATCTAATAAAACATTTTTTAAAGCCAAGTACATATGATAATGATCTAGAGATGAAATTTTAAATTTCGCTGATCTAGCTTCCGCTTAAATTTTACAATGGGTCTGGCGTGAAATTTAGGAATGTTTGAAAGTTTTCTGATAATTTTGCTATACATGTCTCCAAATCTGAAATTACTAATCTAAATGATAAAATCTAAAAAGGCATTTATCAAAACTGTCAGTTACCATGCAGATCATTATAAGAATATTCATATTACCAAGTAGCAAAAACAAACCAATACATACCATTAGCTACATACGTAATCTTGCACAGAATGTTGTCCCTGCTAATCTCCTGGTTTCCCTCTGGTGGGCTTACCAACGTTTGACAAATCATAGCAATGTTAATTTTGGCACGGACGCATCGATTGTTTAACTGCCAAAAAAAAAATCAAAAACCACCACTGTAAAAGATACCCACTATTTTGTAATCTCCACTGGTCTAACACTGTATCAGGTTAACCAAAACCATAACTCATCAAAATTGCCAACAAATTTTATATGAAGTACCAATAAATAACACATACCAAGCTGACATGACACCAGGAATTATTTTCTCTCTTCTTAATTAGTAAATGGAGTTAGATCAAGGTAAAAACCATCGAGATTTTGCCAGCAGTTGATCATGACTTGAGTAAAAACGTAAGTGAGGGAAGTAGCCTATATGTACTACCCATGCTCTGTCTCACCTAACTCAAGAAGAAAAGACAACAGTTCTACGGGGATGCTCACAGCCATGATCACTGCTCTCAGCTAACGCAAGGGCTATACAGTTCCATGAAGGCATTTCATTATAAAACAAAATCTAAAAAGCACTATCAAATCAAGTATGTATATATGTGTGGTATGAATTTATCACTTTTGGTCTACATTATACATTTAGCTTTAATGTACAACTGTATATGATTTATAGAGTGTACTTACAGGAGCACTGTCATGATCCACAGAAAAATTACAAACTATCCAAGTTTCAGGGTCATTTTCAGTCAAGGCTGGTATCTTTCGAATGGCAGAAAGATATAATACATCTCGCTGAGAAGCAGGCCATACCCTCTGTGGAAGTAAAAATCTTTTGAAAATTTGAACTACTGTCTATTCATAATAGAGTCCTTGACAGCGAAACAGATATACAATCAAAATTGTCTTAGTTGAAGATGAAATCTGTCATATTCTAAATGGAAAGCATCGGAGAATATACATCATTAATTACAAACACTGAATTTTGTGGAATATTCGTGGAATAATACCTTCAAAGGAATAATATGACCTGCTATTTTTTTTTTTGGTGGTAATATGCAGATAACACTTGCTACTTCAATCATCTTTATATATATTTCTACATAACTTTTTTAACATACAAAATGCATTTTAATAAATGTCAGTTTTTATTTTTTAAGAAATAAACCTGGGGCCTCCCCCGGTGGCGCGGCGGTTGAGAGCTGGGCTGCGAAGCTGCCTGCAACCTCTGTAGCCCCGGTTCAATCCCCACCTGCCGGGCGAGGGTCCCACATGGCATGCAGACCTCTCCTGCTGCCTGCTGCTCCCCTCAGCAGTGTATTTCTCAGTCTGCCTGTTCTGTTCCCCACTCTGGCTCTAGTGAATTCTCTCACCCTCCCGCGCTTCTGACTGTACACAGTGCTTGTATAAATAAATAAATAAATCTTTAAAAAAAAAAAAAAAAAGGGAAATAAACCTGGGCCTCCCCAGTGGCACAGCAGGTTGAGCGCCACGCTGTGAAGCTGTCCGTAGCCTCCGTACCGCTGGTTCGATCCCCGGCCGGCCAGGGAGAAACCCACATGGCGCAGCAGACCTCTCCTGACTCGCCCACTGCTTCCCTCAGTAGTATCTTTGGTCCATCTGCTTGTTCTGTTCCCTGCTCTGTCTCTGGTAAATTCTCTCACCTTCCCGTGCCTCTGGCCTGTACCACAGTTCTTGTATAAATATTTTTTTTTTTTTTAAAAAGAAATAAACCTAATACAACCTACCCTCCATCTATTATTAATTAGAAATACATTCAGCGGATTGTTTTCCATTAAGCATGTATTCCCAGATCATAAGAGACTTCTGATTCTGTTATTGGTGTCATCTATACTCAATCCAAATCACAAGACAATTGATATTTTAACATTTACTAAATTTTAGATTTTACTTAAATTAACCCTCCCACTATATTGATGAAATAGAATCCTCAATGTTACAGGTTCCTTGAGCAGCTGTCATATAAAATGAAGTTGAGTTCAGTCATTAGATATAAGATGCCTCAAATGATAAGGCAGCACTCAAGAAATAGCCCAATCCTCAAATATTTTCATATATTCAACTCAATTTAAAAATAACTTAAAGAGAAAAATGAGGTACCCACTGATATGGAAAAATTAAGTACCTACTGAATCATTATATGTCTTTCATAATTCTAGAATTCTAAAATTTTGCATGTACACTATGGCTTTTGGCGGACCTCTCCAAAACAGTAACTATTTTTATTATTCTATATACAATATATTATCTGGCAATTTTCTGAAAGGAAACAGAGCAGAAAAAGGTAAGAGAAATATTAAATGACAAGGTTTCTGTGTCCTCTGATTTACGACCCTCTTAATAGTCATGCTCTGCAATTTCCCTTGCTTTCAGACAAACCACTTAGATCACCTTTATATCTTACAACTCTTGACACAGAATACCATATTTTCCATCCCCCTATCTAATTCTACAGAGACTAGAAGCTAGCAAAATATATAAATGGATTTCATTATTTTCTTTACCTTATGTGTTTGATGAATGATAATTGCATTATCAGCTAATGTCTCCACCACATGGAAGTTCTCTATAGTTGCTGAAATGAAGAGAAAATTATTAGTAGTCAAAAAGATATACTACCTTTTCCTAGAATGCCATTAATTCACTTTTGAAAGTTATAGCAAAATGAACAAGAGCTTGTCCTATCTAGGTTAAGTGTAAATAAGAGGTAGCTAATAACTTAGCATTAAATCTTTAGACAGATAGCTGTGAGACTTGATCATTTGGAAGTTTCATTTTTTTTGGCCCAAATATCTTCCTTCCTCATCAAAAAAAAGTAATTATAATCACCACAGTATTACTCAGATACAGATTTTGAATACTATGACTATTCCCTATCATCCCTAATTTACTGAAGCTGAATAATCTGTTCTATCTTTGATGATTATATTTATGAAAAACAGTATCAAACTATCATTGGTAAACATCCTTTGATGTTCAGGAAATACCAGTTTTTATGAAATTTGGTACATAAAGGGAGTGCATGCATACACACACACGCACACACACACCTTAAGAATAACTCAAAACAAATCAAAGCAGGGGTAGGATTCACTGAGGATTTACCATGGAAACAAAATAATTTAGGAAAAGAGTACATACATAATAAAATAGAAACCTTTAATTTTATTCCTGGCTTTTCCACTAATGTGCTATGTGTGTATTGATAAGTCCCTTGATTTACTTGAATTTTACTTTCTTATCTACCAGGATGACTGCAGCACAGAAAACTAAGAGGCATTCTGTATCATGAAAAGCTCTATTTAAAGGTAAGATATTATGTTTCCTATGCTATTCTCCTGTTATTTTCTATAGTGACTGAAGACTATATTTTCTATACTTATGCAGAAAAACAGATTGAGTTTGATTTTAAACTTAAAATAATGGTATTAAAACAAATAACAGCAGCTTACTTTCCCAATCATTGCGAACATCAACATTCCAGAAGTAATTGCAGACCTCGTGTCCTGTAACGCCTTTAACTGCATGAGTAGCTTTCAAAGGATCCAAAACAATCCCATTTTCTTCTACCTCTCTTCTATAGACCTAAAAAAGGATATATTTTAAAACCTGTTTAAAAAATAAAAAAATCAAATTCCTAAAGTACATATAAGAAAGTATGTTAAATTTAGCTGCTTTTTTAGAATTTCACTTACAAAAATCTATCAGACATAAATATTCTGCTGAAAGAAAAATTAAAATGTCACTGTTAACATAAACAACTCATAAAACATACTTAAAACTACAAAACAGGTAATTTCAACCATGAAGAACATGCATATATGATGAATGATTACTGTGAGTTGCTAAAAAATTAATCAATTTAAAGTAGGCATAATTTGGGCCTCCCCGGTGGCGCAAGTGGTAAAGCACCGCACTATGAAGCAATCCGCAGCCTCTGCAGCACGAGTTTGATCCCCAGCTGGCCAGGGAGAAACCTGCAAGGCGAGGCAGACCTCTCCTGTCTCGCCCGCTGCTGCCCTCAGAAGTGTATTTCAGTCAATCTGCCTGTTCTGTTCCCCACTCTGTCTCTGGTGGATCCTCTCAACCCCTGCATCTCTGGCCTGTGCCCCAGCTTCTGTGTGCATAAATAAATAAAATCTTTAAAAAAAAATTAGGCATAGTTTACTGAACATTCTCAAATGCTGTTCAACATGTCTAAGTAGGCCAAATAAGCTGGTTAGAATGTAATCTCCTGAAAGATTAAAGGCAGCTTTGTTTAATGCTGTATCTCTAGCATCTAGGACAGTAAATGAATCACAGCTGACAATTATTTGTTGAATCTAAAGCTAAAATGACATAAAAAACTATACTGTTTTGCATTAATAACTGAAGTTGTATACTTAAAATGCTGAGTAAAATCATTTCAAAATTTGTTACTTTAGAGAGTGCTACAATAAATTCTTTTTTTTTTTTTAAAGATTTATTTATTTTATACAAGAACCAGGGTATAGGCCAGATGCGCGGAAGGGTGAGAGGATTCACCAGAGACAAAGCAGGGAACAGAACAGGCAGACTGACGAAATCCACTGCTGAGGGGAGCAGTGGGTGCAACAGGAGAGGTCTGTCGTGCCATGTGGGACCCTCACCGGCTGGCCAGGGCCGGGGCCGGGATCGAACCGGTGCTGCAGAGACTGTGGACAGCTTCACAGCGTGGCACTCAACAGCCTGCGCCACCAGGGGAGGCCCAATAAATTCTTTTTAAAAAAGATTTATTCGATTTATTTATGCATACAAAGGCTGGGGTGTAGGCCAGAGGTGGGAGTGGGGGGCTGTAGGGGGTGGGAGGTTAAGAGGATTCATCAGATATGGAGTGGGGAGCTGAACAGGCAGTGAAATTATACTGCTGAGGGGAACAGCAGGCGAGACAGAAGAGCTCTGGCTGCACCATGTGGGTTAGCTCCCTGGCCTGGGATCGAAGAACTTGTACTGCAGTAGCAGCTGATAGCTTTACAGTGTTGAGAATTAATCCCTTGCACCACCAGGGAGGCCCTACAATAAATTCTTTTGAAAAATGAATAAACATGTTATCATAGGGAGAACCAACTCTCCATTTATAGGGCCAGACACCATTGGCATTTTACATATAGTTTCTCTTTTGACTATCTCTCTCTTGCCAACTACTCTCTCCAACATGCATATTTATTCATACTATTGCCTGTATATTATTGGACTCCTATTTTCCCAATCACCCAAACTGGAAACTCATTTGATTCTTTCCCTCACACTTTACATAATAGCAATTAAGCTTACTACTAATCTTCAAATGACATTCAACACTTTAATTTTTTTTTTTTAACTACTGGTTACTTCTTTTAGGCAGGCTATCAACACAACTGACTCTCTTAAGTGGTCTTCAGCTTCTTCCAAATTATAGTAGATCCCTCCATTTTACAACAAAAAAATCCCTTCTCAAAACTATAAATTAGGAGCAAGAGGAATTAAACTCTAACACCCTTTCTTCCCTCTACCCCCTTGCTCATGATTAACTGCTAAATAGCTCCACCCACATTCCTGGGAACTTGGAAAATTGTGTTACATCCCTAATAAAACTCTCTGTGTCCCACTGAGGTTGACAGTGATATCAGGAACAAATACCTGCTGACTGCTGAGAAAACATCCTGCTAGTAAAGTCAAACACCTTGACTTATGTCACCTAGACTGCCAAACACCTCCTTGGATCTGGAAATGTGAAGCCCTGCACTTCCCTCACATTCCTTTGCACCATATACAATTCCAGTACATCTGCCATTCAGGAAGCTGGCTGTTTTGGAGTACCTAGCCCACCTACTCCCTTGATGGCAATCTTGAATAAACTCCACTGTGTGAAGATGTTTTTCCTGACTCAGAGTTTGGTTTTCTGGGTGCGAGAGAAAAAGAGAAAGACCAGGTATGGTCATTTACACAATCAGCATCTTCCTACAATGTTATTTTGCACACAGTGATTAATGTACTGCTATGGCACACAGACCATTTTCTTTAATGGGCTATTTTATACATTTCACAGTCCACTCCCAATTTCTGTCTCTCACTTATTATTTCATGTCAAGGGACTTCAGACAGACTATCACTCTTGGTTTTTTTTCAACCCTTCACTACCTCTTTTGTAGGAGGGTAATAGTAACTATCAAATAGTGAGTACAGAAGACAACTAGGCAGACTGGCAACCCCTTCTGCAGACAGCATGTTTCATGGTCTGCTTTTGGGCCTCCTTTTTATGGGGAAGTGAGATCATCCAGCTATGACAAAGGTATTATGTTTACTTCTGGGGTAACGTATCAGTAAGATCTTACAGCAGCTGATCTAAAGCCATGTTGTCCAAACAGCTTATGAGAATTATAACTAACATTTTGGTATCTCATTTGCCTATATTCTCTATCATATTTGTTCCCTATTTAGGAGAGAAAATTCTAACATCCAATATTGTATCACACTTGCTAAAATAATTCTGGTCAACACAGTGTATAAACTCCTAAATAAGAAATTTGCTTTCATAATTTTGCTCACATTGTATTTCTTGCCTAAACTGTCTTTACCTCACATTTGGTACAACCTATTTCCATTTTCACACATAGTTTAAATGCTTCTACTCAGTGTGAAATAATCTCATTGATTCAAATCACAGATCTTCTTTTCTAATCTCTACTGCTCATATGTAGCCTTAATTCAATACATTTTCGGATGGATCCAAGTAATACTATCTTTTAGAAGTCAGTATCCTCTCTCCCCAATTAAAGTTTCAGCTAGGAGTCAGTTTTATTAAACATCTTAACATAGTGCCTTGGGCATGAGGTAATCTAAAATTCAGTGCTGCTGCTGCTTTTCAATCCATCTCTGAATATTTCACTTTTTTTTTTTTTAAAAGATTTATTTATTTATTTATACAAGCACTGGGTACAGTCAGAAGCACGGGAGGGCGAGAGAATTCACCAGAGCCAGAGCGGAGAGCAGAACAGGCAGAATGACGAAATACACTGCTGAGGGGAGCAGTGGGCGGCAGGAGAGGTCTGCGTGCCAGGTGGGACCCTCACCCGGAGGCCGGGGATTGAACCGGCGCTGCAGAGGCTGCGGGCAGCTTCGCAACCCAGCGCTCAACCACTGTGCCACTGGGGAGGCCCAATATTTTACTTTTTGCTCCTATTTTCTGTCTCTTGAATTTAGGCGTGTGAGCAAGATTAATTACTGTCCAAATATCAAAAAAAGGGACAGTGAGAGAAAAGACAAGAAGTGAGGTATAGATCAAAGAGGGAAACAAAGTGACATCTTGGTATAACATTTAGTATATTAAAATAAAAAGAGAAAAATATCCAAACAGAGTACCAACAGTTAACTCTGATCTGTTCATATCTAAACCTCAGATTTTAATTTTTTTCCATGGTTTAGGCAAAATAGGTAGCTTGTTGCATATATTTATACTACGATCATAAATTATGTAAGAGCTACTAAATCAGGGAAGCAAAAGGACATTTTATTTCTCAGTACCTGGTACTTCTTTGATCATAATGTAATAACTTTTGTTAGAGTAACTTTTAAATGCTCTCCTTATACGTACAATAGTAATGATGGTATGACTGTAACAGAGGTAAAATTAGCAACCTATAACATTTCATTGAGAATTACCTTCATTTCTCCTTCTTCTACAACCAACTGCCAGTTGGCATCTCCACCTACATCCTGTAATGAATAAGTCATGTGGTTTTGCACCATCTCTTCAACCTTGAAAAAAAAAATAAAATCATAAGAAACCACATCCAATTAATGGCTATGGCATAACCTCTAAAACAGAATGATACTCAGCTTATTTCAGTTCAGAAATGATGTTCTTAGAAAGTTGAGCAGCCAAATGCACAAAAGTTAGTAGGTTTTATGTAAGTGTTGAAGAGTTTAGTCCACATTCCAGATAGAATAATATACAGGTTAATGACAGAAGGGACAAATGTGGGGAAGTATAATACATCACTGGCCTAAGGTGTATCAAATGACCAAAAAAAACATACTCTGGAAAAAAATAAGGTGACTTCTTTACCATCTACACATAGACACTTTTTCTAAGTTTCATTTTCTATCCTTTTTTTTGCATAATTTATGTTACATTAGAGAGGGCAGCCAAGAGTTAGAAAATATGCAAATTATACTTCAATTAACCCTTTGCACTCCGAACCATTTTACGATATTTTGATTTAATTTCTTGTGCCATTTCAAGATAAAACTTCAGGGAAACATGCATGTCTCAAAAAGTTGCGTTGAAATAACATCAATTCCCCGTAATCACTAATAAATTGCAATGTCCCCTGAGAGGGGACATCCGAGTGATATGCTAGAATTCCGATGTCCCCTGAGAGGGGACAGCGGAGTGCAAAGGGTTAAAAAATTTTATCCCTAAGCTTAACTACTTAGTTTACATAAAGTCTACTGTTCACTAGGAATAGAGAATAAGAACCGAGTTTATACATATTTTGAAAAAAAAAATTAAATGAATACTTGAATAGTTTGGGGGTAGAAACTTAAAACTACTAGCCCTGGGAAAATAAGTATTCTACAAAAAGGAGATTATCAGTGTTATAGTGAGAAGTATTTCTGCTATATTCAGTTTTCTAGATATTAGAATGCATTTTTTGTTACCAAAAGTAGCTATGGCTATGTTTTCTTAGTTGGCAATAACCACAAAAAGAGTTTTTGATAAAAATATATATGCTGAGATTCCACAACCTATTTTTGTACTAAATAAATATGAACGTGACATTTTATTCCTTTATTTATAACCCCCAAGACAATGTGAATGGTTTTGGGTTAAAGGAGGGAGATATTTAAAAATATGATTGAAAGGATATTCTACAGTTTTGTAGCACCTTAATTTAATTAGAGAAAACAATCTCAGGGACTGACTGCCTGGAGAAACTGATGTATTTCTATAATTATGAAGTTTAGGTAAGGAGGCTTAGGATGACTAATACAGGAATTCAGTCAAAAATAAATACAAAATAGATCTGATTTCTAAAACAGGATAAAATAAGTTCCAGTTAGTATACATAAATAAAACAACCAGAGTAGCATTGGCTAGATTCACTGTTCTGTGTTGCATTGTGATTGGGAAAAAGTTTACCTCTTTTAGATCCCAAGATTCAAAAATCTTGAGATTTGAATATGCACTTTTTATTTTTTTTTAAATTTTTAATTTTTTTCTTTTTATTTATTTATACAAGCACTGAGTACAGTCAGAAGCGCGGGAGGGTGAGAGAATTCACGAGAGCCAGAGCGGTGAGCAGAGCAGGCAGAAGGACCAAAGTACACTGCTGAGGGGGGCAGCGGGCGGCAGGAGAGGTCTGCGCGCCATGTGGGACCCTTCTCCGGTGGCCGGGGAGCAGCCGGGGATCGAACTGGCGCTGCAGAGGCTGCGGGCAGCTTCGCAACCCAGTGCTCAACCGCTGCACCACCGGGGAGGCCCTGAATATACACTTTTTAGGTGGGACACACAGGGAGTTAAGAATAATATAATTATTATGAGATTAGAAGCAGAAAGAAATGCTTTCCAGAAATAAGTTCTCTTAATGGATCACTTAGGAAAGAATGTGATAAATTTTATTTCATTAAAAAAAGTTGTTAGAAAAAATTTGAATGCCAATTAACTCTTGTCAAAAAGTATGGAAGTAATTGTGTTTTAATTTGAGAGATTATTCCAGAATTTGTTATTTCAAATGTCTGAAAAACAAGAATCTGTTTTTGATTTGTGATTTGGCCCAAAAGAAACCAAATTCTCTATATATAAACTGGTAGGATGTAAAGTAAATGAAAACAACATACAGTAAGCTGGATTTAACATTCTTTCTGGATAGTTGTGTTCCTTTCAATAGTTAATCGCAACATGTATAAAAATGTTTTCAGTCTTTTTTCAAATTTACTCCCCTTGACTAAAAGGGCTTGAAAAATATATAATGAGAAAATAAACAAGATGTACTGAAGGTTGTACTCCTATGAAGTTAAAGAAAGGAACGAAGTATTCAATTGCTGTAGCAACCATCTCTGCAAAACCTTCAACATGGAATCTCTACTCACTTTATTCCTTGAGGTATTAAAATTAAGGTTAAGAAGAGAGATGATTACAGGCAAAATCTCACTTCTATGAATTTTATGTTCACTGCAATTATATAAAGTAGCCAATACTACTGTAGGGGAAGTGACTTGGGCATTTGTGATCACACTGACATTTCAGATCTAAACTAATCATCTGCTCCATTTACTGCTTTCACTTAGGACTTTATGTATCAAAACTAAGCAGGAAACAAGAGATCAGGATCATTAAGTTAGATAACAAAGATAAACACAACCCAAACTTAACATTTTATTATGCTCAAATTTGATATACCTTGAAATGTTAGTAGTAACATCTGCTATCACTAAAAAAGACTGGATCAAAATCCTGGAAGCAGGGTCACTCATTTAATGTATCCTAAAGTTTTAACTAGATGAAGCATAATCTTAGGTATCATGTCCCTGATTTTTTTTGACCTAGAGGTAAAAATGAGCTAACACATACAGCATCTTCACACGAAACGAACTATGAAAAAAATGGAGATGGACCTCCCTGGTGGTGCAAGGGGTTAATACGCAACCTATGAAGCAATCTGCAGCCACTGCAGCACTAGTTCGATCCCAGCTGGCCAGGAAGCTACCCACATGGTGCAGCAGATCTCTCCTGACTCGCCCCGCTGCTCCCATCAGCAGTGTACTTTGGTCAATCTGCCTGTTCTGTTCCCCACTCTGTCTCTGGTGAATCCTCTCACCCCCCACACTTCTGGCCTGTACCCCAGCTCTTGTATGCATAAATAAATAAATCTTTAAAAAAAAAGAAAAAAATGGAGATAAACACTTTTGAAATAAGAGATGACAGCACTCTAAATCTAACCTTTCCTTCTACCTTACATTTGAACCACTCATTATGCCATTTTAGGAGGTTAACTTATTAGATTTTTCTAACATTATTAATGCAGAAATGTCAAGTTTGTTACAGATATGTAAATGGGTTTATCTACTTTGGCAGAAAAAAATTATAAGGCATATATATTTATCAGTATATGCTTGATATTGTATATAAGATATTAAAATACTCTCATAGGAAAAAAATAGATGTAGCTAATTTTGATTAGTTCATAGACATATTATGAGTAAAAGTTCATACCTAATGAGCACTTAATACATGCCACACTAGCTAGCTCCCAGTCCTAGCTAGATTACAGAAGTGAAGTACAGAAGAATCAGAAAACTTATCCCAAATCATATTGCTAACTGGAATTTAAACTGTCATTTCAATTAGAGTACTCAGATTCTTAAAATAACATAATGCAATCTAATAAAATGCAATCACTGTAAAGATACAAAGAAATGAAGTTAAAAAAAAATCATTTTAAACTAACACTGATACTAAAAAATATGACAGGGGCTTCCCTGGTGGCGCAAGGGTTAAATCTCAGCACTGTGAAGCTATCTGTAGCCACTGTAGCACTTCAATCACCAGTCAGGGAGCTAACCCACATGGTACAGCAGACCTCTCTCCTGTTTCACCCACTGCTCCCCTCAGCAGTATATTTTAGTCAATCTGCCTGTTCTGTTTCCCACTCTGTCTCTGGTGAATCCTTTTGTCCCTGTACCCCTGGCCTGTACCCCAGTTCTTCTATGCATAAATAAATATTAAAAAATAAATAAATAAAAATAAAAAACCATGAGTTTGATTTTATTTTAAGGGAAAAGATTACAGGCATACAGCTTCCTATCTTAAATTCCCAACACCTTACTGATGCTAAATAATCTAAAACCAATTTCCATAGATTTAGCACATGAACGGGAACATATATTTATAATATCGAAGAGTAGTTTACAAAAGGAAAATACCCGTTTAAAGGAGCTTAGAATCATAATGGCAATGAGAGAAATACTATTTTCCAGTTGAATATAATTTATGACATATTAAAATTAGATTAGAAGTGAGACAATTAAAACCTATTTATGTTTGACATATCCTGTAGACCAAGTCCCTAAAAGTTGCTGAAACCTACTGAAACAGGTATTATGATATTTAAAAATCAGCAACCTTCTACTTGTTTTAATACAATTTGAAATCTTTTGGGAGTACCTCCTATATGAACAAATTCCAAGTTATTTGTAACAGAAGACACAAAGGGCACATGCAAGTCTGACAGAGGAACTATTTAGTATATAAGAAAGGCCATTTAAATGTTTATTGTTATTATTTATAAATCCCAAAACCAAAGCAAATGACCAAACCAAAAGATTTCTAGGAACTGGGAAAACAAGCTGAAATATAGCAGAAAGACTCAAAATCCATTCTATATATTCATACAGTACCTGGGAGCTGAATCTGTGAACATCATCAGAGGCACTGACTAGATCAATGGAAGACATGGAGGAAGAGCGACTATAGGGCTACCAGAGACAGACAAAGAAAAAACCAAGTAATCAGAACAAAGGCACAACAGAGCAATCAGTACCAACTTCCAAACACAAGATAAAGAAAAAGAGAACAAAGCACTATATGAAACAAGCTTAGCAGCAAGTACTGATTTTGTGCACCTATTATTTGTTACGCTCCTCCTAAATCTGTACTGTTTGCAATAATACAAATAATATCTCCTTAACACAAAGAAAAACGAGACTACAAGCATACAGCTTCCTATCTTAAATTCCTAACTAGACTATAACTTAATCGCTTGCGATTAACTATTTTGAACTAGCCATTCTCTGAACACCCCAATCACACCTCTCTCCCTTAATAAAAAAAATAAAGAAACTATGTTCAGGTGATTTCTAACTATTTTGAAGGGTGTATTTGAAAGAAAATATATAATGCCAAAAATCTTATTACTTAAATTCAAGAAAAGGGAGAAGAGTTATACTATAAGATAGTTCTTCCAGCAACAGCAAGGAAATATACAACATATAACTTCAGTAAATGCTGACATCAGCTTACCTTTTGGACAAATCTATGCGTCACCACAGAAGAAAAGGTATCTCCAGAAGGCATAGATGTAGGCCAATGCAACCTGACCTTCTCACTCTGTGACTAAGAAAAAATAAAATTGTTAAAATGGGAAGATTTTAAAATACATTTCCCAGTTTAAGAATGGATTATATAACTGGAATTACCAACATTTAATTGCTAACACTATAGTATCTATAAATACTTGAATTAATGAAACTATAGATATTAACTTTGCCAAATACTGACACTTCATATATTCCAAATCAAACTTTTTTTCTGATTGACTAGATACTGCCTTCTTAGACCAGCGATTACTTCTTTGGTTTTGCTCTTAGTCAGACCTTCAAAACCTGCATGATATCAAATTACTATTGTCTGGTTGTCTCTCCCAACAGTGTCAAACAGGCTTTTCTCAATGGTGTTCAGAGTAAGCCTTCTAAGAAGTGTCACCTTGATATGAACTAAATGGTCAATGGAGACCCTGTGAGCCTGGGGAAGTCTATTACCATTACTTAAAGTATGCAGATTATTTTAAAAGCAGTGAAAGCCTTAGGTGCATTTTAGTCCTTTGCCCTTTTTCCTGAAGGGAAAAGAAAGTAGGTAAACAGTCACTTTATTGGACCCAAAAGAATATAGTTTGAGGGGTATCCTCTGGGTAGAGGCTTAGCAGTGAAAAAATCCTATCAAAAAATCTCATCTTGACTCTCAGATTATCAATAGAATGAGGTCACTTTCTTATTGTATGTCATGTTACATATCCCTGCCATGTTCCTTGATTTTTCAGGACCCTAAATGCAGCATATCCCCAGTCTGTTCCACTATGTAAAAACTTCAACTATGTAAATCCTCTATATGTATGTTATTAAATTGTGGCCTTTTCTCCTGCTAATTTAATGCTTGTTTGTCTGTTCTGCCTTAGATGAACCCAGGTGGGTGGGAGATTGCTTTACTCAGAGTATATATATATATATATATATATGCTTGATATTAACAGAACAATAATAAAGTTGGATTCTTCTAGGAGAAAAGACAATATTTCCATCTAGTTTCATATTAATTATGCATAATTACATTAAACAATCATTGGCCTTCTTTCTATTGCTTGGAAATTGATAAATGAGGGAAATGACATAAAAATTCTACATTTGTAACTTATATAGACAGTTCATTTTGTATGTTATTATGAGGGTTAATGATTTTCAAGTTCTATTTATATGAAATAATACATATTAAGGAATGTCTACAGTGCTAAAATTAAGTTCAACTAAGAAATTTTAATGATATACCTGTTCTTCTATTTTATCTTGTCTGTCAAGAGCAGCTTCAACAGCATCAAAGAATTCTTCTTCATTAATCAGACTATTTGGGCCTTCCTATTCAAACACACAGGGGAAAAAAGCATTTATTTAATAGAAAATACTGATGCCCTTGCCATTGACTCTAGGGGACAGTTGAAAAGTGATTCAACAAACATTTATAATTTAATCAGTACAATAGGTAATATTATTGTAAACATGAGTAACATTTAGAATCATGAGTATTACAATGAAATTCACTCACTTAGTACATACATACTTAGTATAGGTTGACCAATACTGTGTTAGGGTAACAGTCTAGAGAATGGTTGGTGAGTCACAAACCCAGAAGCTAGATCCAGTCCACTGCCTACTTTTGTTAAGGCTTTGAGCCAAGAAATTTATTTTAAAATGGCTGGGAGAAAAAAAAGAGTAATGATATTTCATGATATGTAAGGATGATATGAAAAAGTTCCCAGACTAGCATATGTAAATATAACTTTATAGTAGGTCTTGAATGTAGCTAGGATTATGCATGTTTAAGTCCTCCAAGTGATTCTCATGCAAGTGGAACCTCAGTTGTGTCAGATGATGAAAGCATAAAGAGCAATACTAAAATAGAAAAAAAGCATGCTATGTCCTTGTGATGAAACAAATAAGTGGACTAATAAGTGGAACAATAACTTCATATCACAGTATAAGTACAGAATGGAAAGGTATACTTGGGTTCAAGGTTTCCTAATGTCTAGATAAACAAAATAAGATATATGAATGATGGCTGGTCTACCAGGAAGCTTCCCAGTTAGATGGATAACCTCAACTTTCACTACTCCATTAAAAAACATCTAGCAACATCATCCCACCACAACCTGGAGCCACAGAGGAAGGGTAAGAGGAATTATGATATAATGATCCTGGTCATTTGGCATAGCATATGAGAAATTTTCATTTAATGCAACAGTGCTTTCTCACAACCTATTTCAAATTAAAAAACAAACCCAACTATTATGCAACTACAACACACAGAACAGAGCACACCTTGATGAATTATCATTAAGTAAATATAACCATCTAAATGACCAGCTGGATCATGGAAAAGAAGAGTAACAACACTCCATTCAAAACATTTCAAAAGTATTCAAATAACATTTCAGTCTCTGATGACGTAAGGAAAATAAAAAATATCCAAAATCAACTTTGAACTTCCAACATATATTCTAAAGATTTTTAAAACTCTACTGTTCCTCAAAGGGTCAGGAAAAAGACAAAACTTGCAAACTGACCATAGATATGAGACATAAAGCAGAAGAGGAGGAGACAGAGAGGCAAAACAGGGGAGGGAAGAGCACAGGGTATGGTGGAGATGAACAACAGGTACTATGGTGGTGGGAGAACTTCGGGGACTATACCTGAGGGGAGAAATAAAATGCTGTCCAAAATTAACAGTAAGAAAATAAATTTTTAAAAATTAATGTCAAAAAGCTATCGTTAATATTTATTTAATCTATGCAATCACATCAGAGTGTCAGTATTTTATTAACTGGAAATTAAAGCATTGAAAATTTTTACTGTGACAAGTTAGAGACAAATGAAGAAGACTGATACAGTTTTCCTTTGATGGCAAATCTGTGGGGAAATTAAAGTAATTGGAATAAATTTTTCCTTATTAAAAAACAACAAAAAAACCTTAAAAATCCTTTTTAGTTTCTGTTTACCAAGGAAAAGAGCTATTTATTATTAAAGTTTAGGGCACTCCATAGTGTTTATCTTGCTAGTCTAATTTAGTAGCATTTCTTATGTTAATGACACTCTCAGAAGAGATTCCCAACCAAGGGATCCCTCTCTACTATGCACTTTTTGGGTTCCAGTGCAGGTTTTTCCTTCTGTGCATATCCTTTAAATTTGGTTGTTCCTCGGGGTTTCGCACTTGCTCTTTCCACAGTATCCTTACTCATTCCTAAAGCTCCATCATCATCTGTTGATTCAGCCTGTCCATCTTTCCTAAGTGTTAGATATTTACATCTAAAAATATGAAAGATTTCCTCAGGTGTATGTCTCCACTCATTTGCCACATGTCTAAAACTTGTTTCCCAGTTTCCATACAAACCTGGTTAAGACAGAAACCTGGGTCTGTTCTTAAATTCCTCCCTTTCCCCCTCAATTAAGCACCACACCCTTCAGTTCAACTTTCCAAATACATACTTTGTCAGGTCTATTTCTACTGCTCTGTCCGAATTTAAGCTCTCTTCAATTCTCACCTGTAATACTGACATGTTTTCCAAAGCTCTCAGTCCCAATTGTCAAGTTTAATCCATTTTCCTTACTGTAGGAAGCAAGAATTTTTCTAAACTCTAAATCTGAAAACTTCCAATTGTTTGAAACCTCACGATCTGATAGATACTTATGAACCTTTCTTACCACTCCCTCCTTTCAACTCGCTCCACCCTCTACGATAAGTGCTTTCAGTTTCCCTGTGGCAAAAGCTCTCTTCTGCTTCTGGCCTCCAAATGTAGTCTTTTTTCTCAAGCCCCAGAGCAACCATTCTTTCTAGGCTCTTCAGATGATGACATCTACTCAGCATCCTCCTTTTTCAAGGTTTCAATTAAAAAGTTGTTTCCTATGGGAAGCCATCTAGGACTCAATATCCACTCAGGGTTAAAAGTCCTTCATAACATACATTACTTTAATTGCTAATTAGTCTGCTATTATGTGACTTAAAGGTACAACCTCCTTCTGCCTGATTTCTAGCAATATCCCCCATGCCTAGCAGGCTTGCTTTATAGTATATCTTTTTTTTTTTTTAATTCTTTTTTATTTATTTATACAAGCACTGGGCATAGTCAGAAGCGCAGAGGGTGAGAGAATTCACTAGAGCCAGAGCGGGGAGCAGAGCAGGCAGAAGGACTGAAGTACACTGCTGAGGGGAGCAGCAGGCGGCAGGAGAGGTCTGCGCGCCATGTGGGACCCTCCTCCAGTGGCCGGGGAGCAACCGGGGATCGAACTGGCGCTGCAGAGGCTGCGGGCAGCCTTGCAACCCAGCGCTCAACTGCTGCACCACCGGGGAGGCCCGCTTTATAGTATATCTTGAGGAATGGATTTACGATTTACAAAAAGTAATTTCTGAGGCCACAGATGACAGAAACATTGAAACTTTATTCAATAATTAGAATATCATGAATGTTTGATAAGAATCAAAATAAAGTCTTACTTTCAAATAGTGTCTAAAATCCATGCAATGTAGTACTGATGCAACAGAGTAATCCCCAGGGAAAGAGGACGTTCCAGGTTCCCTGCCCACACTAAGAAAGGTGGAGCTGGGCAGGGAAGAGAAACTATCTACAGAAAAGACTGAGAGAAGGACTGAGAGAGGAAAGAAGACCTGGCTGAGAAGAAGCAGAGAGAAATTAAGAAGGAAGAAGACTGGAGGAGGCACATGGCGCAGAGAGACATGTAAAGAGGCTGTTTGCTTTTTGGCCTTGGATTTCTATCAGAGAGCTGGGGGACACGGAAAGAGACACTTGAAACAGTGTGGGTGAAAGACCAGTGGGAAGGTTGACAATGGTAGGCTTTATCTTTTTTTTTAAAAAAGATTTATTTTTGGGCCTCCCCCGTGGCGCAGCTGTTGAGCACTGGGTTGCGAAGCTGGCCGCAGCCTCTGCAGCGCCGGTTCGATCCCCGGCTGCTCCCCGGCCACTGGAGGAGGGTCCTGCATGGCGCGCAGACCTCTCCTGCCGCCCGCTGCTCCCCTCAGCAGTGTGCTTCGGTCCTTCTGCCTGCTCTGCTCCCTGCTCTGGCTCTGGTGAAGTCTCTCACCCTCCCGCGCTTCTGAATGTACCCCCAGTGCTTGTATAAATAAACAATTTAAAAAAAAAGATTTATTTTTTATTTACTTATGCATACAAGAGCTGGGGTATATGTCAGAGATGGGGGCGGAGAGGGTGAGAGAATTCACCAGTGACAGAATAGAAGCAGAACAGGTGGATCTACTGAAATAAACTGCTGAGGGGAGCAGTGGGCAAGATAGGAGAGGTCTGCTGCATCATGTGGGTCAGCTCCCTGGCTGGGGATCGAACTCTGCTGCAGTGGCTGTGGACCAGCTTCATCGTGCTGAGATTTAACCCCTTCTGCCACCAGAGAGAACAGCAGCCTTTATTTTGACATGGATTTTGATTTTGCTCTTTTCCTCCCAGACTTGGCTGGCTCCTTCTGCCCCTTTTCTATGGGTTCCCACCAGAAGATGGTGGCCTTAGACTTGTGGCAAGCTTTTGTGCCTCGGCAGTCCTGCTTTGGCCCAACCCTGTTTGGCTGGGCATTTACCTATGAGGTAACTTTGGGTGCTTGATTTGGAAACAACATTCTTTCTCTTCTATTACCCACTAATTGTATTAAAGTTCCTTTCCATTGAAAGCCTTATGCACTGGTGTATGTTTTGCCTTGATGCAGTGGATGGCAGAACCCATTTAGAGTAGGCAGGATTGGGGGTCCTGTGGTACCCCTCACCCTGCCCTATAGCACTGACAGAAGAAAACATAGATGTTGAAAAAACTCCAAAAGGAAGGGAAAAATCGATAAAAACAGGTCCTAGTTTATATAACAAATGTATATTGAACCTGATACAACAGTAATTTGGTAAGGGAAAAAGTACATTTAACCCATTTTGCTTAGAGGGAAGTGCATTTCAAGGGAGTGAGGAGTGGTTTACTTAACATATGACATCAGAATACAGATTCCTGGGGCCTCCCCGGTGGTGCAGCGGTTGAGCGATGGGTTGCGAAGCTGCCCGCAGCTTCTGCGGCGCCGGTTCGATCCCCAGCTGCTCCCCGGCCACCGGAGGAGGGTCCCACATGGCGCGCAGACCTCTCCTGCCACCCGCTGCTCCCCTCAGCAGTGTACTTCAGTCCTTCTGCCTGCTCTGCTCCCCACTCTGGCTCTGGTGAATTCTCTCACCCTCCCGCGCTTCTGACTGTACCCAGTGCATGTATAAACAAACAAACAAACAAACAAATAAATAAATAAAACATGCCTCTATTAAAAAAAAAAAAAGAACACAGATTCCTACACGTAACCATAATTTAAAAAGTCTAGATGTATTAACATATTTAGAAAAGACTATTAAAATATTTAAAAGCCAGGAGATACAGAAATTATGTATTAAAAACTTACGCTTTTTAAAGTATGATACCAAAATGTGGAGATGAGTATATCAAAAGACTGAAGGTTAGTTACATAAAACATTCATTTGGCAAAACTAACAATGAGAAGACTTTAAAAAAAACCTACAGAAGAGGGCCTCCCTGGTGGTGCAAGGGGTTAAGCACAGTGCTGTGAAGCTATCCGCAGCCTCTGCAGCAGGAGTTCGATCTCCAGCTGGCCAGGGAGCTACCCACATGGAGCAGCAGACCTCTCCTGTCTCACCTGCTGCTCCCCTCAGCAGTGTATTTCAGTCAGTCTATTCTGTTCCCTACTCCGTCTCTGGTGAATCCTCTCACCCCCAACATTTCTGGCTTGTGCCCCAGTTCTTATATGCATAAATAAATAAATCTTTAAAAAAAAACTACAAAAGAAAATAATTGAAAAACGAGAGGCTAATCATAAATATATTCTAAATCATGGGGGGAAACACCACCAAAATCTAGTAAGAAAATATTTTGGATTTGAAACCAGTAAACACATAAACTTAAGTACAAGGCCCCTTCCTCCCTCCACTGTGTTCTTCCCTGAAAAAAACCTGTTGACAGGACGGAAGATAAATAATACAATTATACTCATATATTGCTAGTAGGAATAAAGTATACTATATATTGGTAAATTAAAAACATGGGCTTTTTTTCATATTTTCTGTCATCTTACTATAGGGAATATATTTATAACACAAAAAAAAGACAAAAAAAAACCAATAGTTCCCCCCCAAATAAATTTAAATAGCAAATTTAAATTTAAATTTAAATAGCAAAACAATGTATTTAGCTTCGAAATAAAAATTAAAATTGTAACAGCTTATATTTTGGTATTCTAGATTTTTAAAACTCCAGAGGATAGCTGATTGTGTAGTTTTTATACATTTTAGAAGGAATGAATTGACAGGTTAATAATTTTAAAATGTTACAACTCAAATCTCATGCTAGAAGTAGAAATCTTTTTTACCATAAAATATTTGGCCAATAGTAGCTCTATTTCCCCCTTTGTAGAATAAGAATATCAGAAAATTTTTCCTCTGTTGTTGTTACAGATGCATCTCTGTGATAGGAGGCAAAACACTGCAGTACAGCGAATGGAGTCATATTTTTTTTACTTCCCCCGCCCGGCCCCACTTACATCAGTTGTCTTGGACTACATTCCCAGCATACCATGAAAGACTTTCTGAATGGGAGGCAGGTGGGAAGATACAAAGTGGAATGGAGACATGTGGGTGACAGGCATGTGGAGAGGTTGCTCCTGGGATTTTAGCATTTTGGCAGAGACAATGGCAGTCATTATATGACCTCATGGTAGATTACATGGTACATTTTGAATTTGGGGTCTCTCCTGTCCCAGCTGTCTGGGACCTGCCTAACCTGGTTTGTGTGGTACCTTGTTAGAAGGTGCTTAGACTTGTGCCAAGTTTTCAGTCCTCAGCTGCCCTGTGTTGGGCTGGGCAGCAAACTCTATGGCTGGGCTTCTGCCCATGGGGGGATGGAAAATTTAGGGAGTTTTATTAGGAATCTGTTATTTAAATTCTTTCTCTCATTGCATACCGATGAAAGCTCTTTCACACCGAGTCTGCTTGCTGTGTTCTTGTGTGTGTGGATATTGTGTGTGTTGGATGGTTGAATCCTTTTAGAATGCGGATCCTGTAACAATTTGGGATTCCTGGGTACCTCTCAGTCATCTGGTTACATTTTCTTAAATATATTCTATTTTATCATTCTACTTTTACCTTAATAATATTCCTTGCCACTCTATTTTTTAAATGTTCATTTCAGGAACATCAACAGCGTTAATAACAAACACAGATAGACTTCTTATACTTTTTTCTCTCCAAATAAATATCATAGAAAAATAGCTTATAAAATTTTAATGTACTGAGTGTATGGAGAGGGAGATTTTTAAATTGCTTAACAAATGAGGGGAAAGAAGCTTGTTTTAGACATTTTCAAATACAACACAAGGGCAATTAGAAAAATTCATGTTCTGCTATGGATAAGACCTCACAATTTATGTAGGCCAGTTTAAAACTGTTTGCCTATAAAGTACTTAAATTTTCCTCAATAGGTTTCTTTCATTAAAAAGAGAGAGAGCACGTGTGCGTTAAAAAAATTCTCATCCTTTGGGGGGAGATAAAGACTTGTCCTATAAATTGGACAGATCTAAAAATAAGCCTTGTAAAGCCCACTAATCTTTTATAAGCAAAAGAAAAAAAAGTCAAAATATAAAATTATACCTCATAATCTGGTCCTCCAAAGTGGGATTTTTTCTTAAGTTCTATCATGGCATTTTTGTATGCTTCCTCTGTCCTCCTCCTCTTCTCATTTTCCTATTAAAAAAAAGCAAGTAAAAAAATTCATCATTTGAAGTGGGAATTCCCTCTGTATCTTACTGAAATTTTATAATTTAAAACCAACTCTATTCCTGTAAAATGTAAGAGTATTATTCTGCCCAAGAAAACACTTATACACAAGCTACCACTTAATCACTACTAAAATCACCTTATAAGTAAATTACATCTTTAAATGGATTGTCAAAGTGACTATACTTTCTTAAGGAAAAACATGAATTAGCAACAGAGAAATACCTACAATATATTCACGTCTCCCTTCCACCCCCACAAGAACATTATTTCGTTATAAGAAAAAAAAGCAAGTAATGATGCCAGAAAGAAATAACTCAGTTAACAGTGAAAACAATAAATGCTATAAAGACATTCTTAGAATGGCCAATTTCTCATACTTTGTGGTACGTGCTGGTTAAAACCATTTTAGAGCTGAAAAACAATTTAGGTTTATATTTTAATCCTTTTGCTTTATAGATAGGACCTAGAACTCTAAGGTTAAAAATCTACACTAAACTCAAATAAAACTATTTTTAAATACCCCATCTAAACTAAAGTTTGATTTGCACTAGACCTAATGATCAACTGATTTTTGTGTACTGAAGAAAAAATAGAACTACAGACTCACTAGAACGGCAAAAATCAAAACAAAACATTTACAAAATACTGGCACTACTAAGCATTGTCAAGGGTAAAGAGCAACTGGAATTACCATCTATTGCTAGTGGGAGTATAATATATCCACTTTGGAAATTTACAGCTAATGTCCATTAAAGCTAAGCATATACCCCATGAATCAACAATTCTATTCCTAGATGTTATGTCCAAGAGAAGTACATATATTCACCAAAAGATATGTCCAAGAACACTCACAGCAGCTTTATTCACAACAGTCAAAAAATAAAAAACAACCTAAATATCCATTGACAGAAAGAAAAATGGATAAACTTAAGTGATAATAACAAATTCATCACACAATAGTATACAATAATGACAAAGAATAAACTGTCTCTAAATATAGCAACATGAATGAATCTCAGAGTCAATACTGGAGGTGGGGGGGGGCACCAACACAAGAGTATATACTGTATGATTTATAAGATATTTAAGAACAGGCAAAATTAATCTATGATATGTTAGAACTATGGTCACTTCTTGAGGTAGTAGTATGGCATGGGACATGAAAGAACTTTCGGAGGTTTTAGAAAAGTTCTGTATCTAGTTCTGAGTGTAATTACCGGGTGTATTAATATGTATAAATATCAAAAAGCAGTGTATTTAAGATTGGTGTACTGCACTGTGTGCATGTTAGACCTTAATTTTAAAAAGTGAACAAAACAACACACACCACAATATAACTAAGAAGCTTAAGAGAAAATGAAAAGCATGTGAAATTATATGCATGAGTCTATTAATATGAACAAACACTGGGCCTCCCCGGTGGTGCAGTGGTTGAGCGCTGGGCTGCGAAGCTGCCTGCAGCCTCTGCAGTGCCGGTTCAATCCCTGGCCACCGGCAAGGGTCCCACATGGTGCGCAGACCTCTCCTGCCGTACCCGCTGCTCCCCTCAGCAGTGTACTTCGTCAGTCGGCCTGCTCTGTTCCCAGCTCTGTCTCTGGTGAATTCTCTCACCTTCCTGCGCTTCTGACTGTACCCAGTGCTTGTATAAATAAATAAATAAATCTTTAAAAAAAAAAATATGAGCAAACATTGGGCCTCCCTGGTGGTGCAATGGGTTAAGACGCATCCTATGAAGCTATTCCCAGCCACTGTAGCATGAGTTTGATCCCCGGCCAGGGAGCTACCCACACAGCACAGCAGACCTCTCCTGTCTTGCCCACTGCTCCCCTCAGCAGTGTATTTCAGTCAGTCCTCCTGTTTTGTTCCCCACTCTGTCTCTGGTGAATCCTCTCACATCCCCCACAACCTCTGGCCTACCCTAGTTCTTATATGCATAAATAAATAAATCTTTAAAAAAAAATGAGCAAACATTTTCAATGAACAGATTTTTTTTAACCAACATTGTTAATTGAAATTGTTTAATCTTAGAAATTTGGGCCTTCCTGAACATGACTGGCAAATAAAAATTAGTACACTTCTATAGTAGAAGGGACTATTATTTTAGGTAATTAAGAAAAATCATCACCACTAAAGAACATTTTCCTTTTTTTTTTTAAATATTAAATTTTATTTTTATATTCCCCCATACAATTGCAAACGCCCCATTCTGACCCCAATCCTTCCCCTCCCGCCCCCCACCCCCCATAAAGAACATTTTCAATTACTAAGCTAAAAGTACATGGAACTGACAGCGCAAATCTATTTAAAAGAATGATGGAGGCCTCTCTGGTGATACAGGGGTTAAATCTCAGCTCTGCCAGCCACTGCAGCATGAGTTCGATCCCTGGCCAGGGAGCTAACCCACATGGCACAGCAGACCACTCCTATCTCGTCCACTGCTCCCCTCAGCAGTATATTTCAGTAGATCTGCCTGTTCTGCTTCCCTCTCTGTCTCTGGTGAATCCTCTCATGTCCCACACCCTTGCCCTACACCCCAGTTTCTTGTATGTAAAAATAAACTTTAAAAATTCTTTCAATGGGCCTCCCTGGTGGTGCAGTGGGTTGAGCTTTGCACTGTGAAGCTGTCCACAGCCTCTGCAGTGTGGGTTCGATTCCCTGCCGGCCAGGGAGATACCCACAAGGCGCGGCAGACCTCTCCTGCCTCGCCCGCTGCTCCCCTCAGAGCAGTGTACTTCAGTCAATCTACCTGTTCTGTTCCCCACTGTTTCTGCTTAATCCTCTCACCTCCTCCCTCTCCCTCCCCGTATCTCCAGCCTGTACCCCAGCTCTTGTATGCATAAATAAATCTTTAAAAAAAAATTAAAAAAATAAAACTTTATCAGGAATGCATCTGTATAGAAACTGAATCAATAAGTGGTGAATCTCATTAGGAACATGGCTTTAAGTTGCCCATAAAGTTTCAAAGGTGTAGTTCCACCCAACAGTCAACCCAGCAGATTTTGCCCTAGAAGTTAGTTTGGTTTACATGTCCAATCAGCAAAAATTTGATAATTTTTAAAAAGGAAGAAAAAGTAGTCTTACCTTATCCAGTCTTTTTTGCCAGCTTTCTTCACGTTTCACCATTAGTTCAATACAATGGGAAAGTGTAGCAAGGATTCCAGCAGTAGTTGCTTTAAAAGTTATTGCCTCTCCTTTAAAGTCTATACCATTAATTCCTTTTGGTGTTACATGTGGAAATACTGGAGGGGGTAAAAAGTTATTCAATGAAAAATTTTCTAATGAAATAATTATTCTCCAAACTTAAAGTTAGAAAATGTGAGAAAACTAGCAAGTCAGAGCAGGTTTTTGGATTATAATTTCCCTCATGAGCGAACATTTAAAACTTTTCATAAATGTTCCGTGAGTAAAGAAGTGTGTGCCAGCATATGTACTTTCAAGTCTTTTTTCTGGATTCTATATCTTGAAGTCTATTTGTTGTGCTGCATCTAGTAAATAATGTAGTAGGAGGAGTTTTAAGATAAATTAAAAAGAAATCATATCTTATTTTCTTTTCTTTTTTTAAAAGGATTTATTTATTTATTTGTACAAGCACTGGATACAGTCAGAAGTGTGGGAGGGTGAGAGAATTCACGAGAGCCAGAGCGGGGAACAGAACAGGCAGCTTGACAAAGTACACTGCTGAGGGGAGCAGTGGGCGGCAGGAGAGGTCTGCGCGCCATGTGGGACCCTCACCAGCGGCCGGGGATAGAATCAGCGCTGCAGAGGCTGCGCCCAGCTTCGCAGCCCAGCGCTCAACCACTGAGCCACCAGGGGAGGCCCCATATCTTATTTTAAATAACATTAAAAATATTTTAATTATAGCAAGAATTACCTAACATTTTGAGAAACCTGGAAATTTTAAAATAACTTAAGAAAATACTGAAATGAATAAGTACAAATTTAAGTGTGGGGTCAATATATAAACTAAATGGTTTTCATGTTTATATTTTGCAATTTTAGTTCACAGACAGCCTTTGAATTAAATAAAAAACTTAAATCTCAAGAGAGTACAATATCTTATTCTATAGCTAGTAAGAATTCCAGTAGAATTCACAAATGAAATACTTCTGACTTTAAAAACTCCTATGTAGACATGACAGCAAAGGTACAATCCATAAAAGAACTGATAAACTGTACTTTGACAAAATTTTGAATTTGTTTTAAAGTCACTGTTAAAATAAGTTGCAGTTAAATGGGATGAACAGGTCTACAGATCTAAGGTACAGTATAGTGACTATCATTAATACTATATTGAATGTTGGAAGTTTTCTAAGAGATTTAAGAAATTCTTGTCACAAAAAACAGTAACTATGTGATGCAATGACAAGTTAACTAGCTTGACTGCAAAAATTTCATTAAGTATATCAGCATTGTATACCTCACAAATATCACTTTTATTTAAAATAAAGAATGAAAATGTTGGGAGCCTGCTGCCTTAAAGGGAGCTGGAGTTTATGGAGAATATCTGTTTACTCTGCATACGGAGTTCTAAGATGTTAGAAGTTCTGCAAACAGAACTTCTTCCCAGAATTGACTCCTGTTCTCTGAGGATGTGCTGGCTTGTGTGCATGTTCCCTACTAACCAGAAATGCTTGTTTTCAGCAGTAACTTATTAATCTGCATAAGCAAAAACACAATTGTTTGCTATTTTCTTATTCCTTTGTTTATATCTTTAATAAAATTTTGGGCTGGGAGAGTGAAAGGCAGAGCTGCTCTTGATGGCACTCTCCCCTCCCTCCCCCTACTGCAAATTCATTTAGATTCCAAGTCTTCATTACTAGCACAGAATTTTATCCGCTATCCTGACTACAGCATGAAAAGACAAGCCACAGGCTGGAAGAAAGTCTTTGTACAGCATATCTTATGAAAGACTTGTATCTCAAAACTCAACAGTAAGAAAATAACCCAATAAAGGAAATCAACAAGATTCATACACATACTTGACTAAAGAAGAGATATGGATGACATTAACAATACATGATGATGTATTAGAAAATATATACTGGTTCGTGGGTATTTTGGAAACAGGGTAAGAGAAGGGAATCTAGAATTACATCTTTTAATATGTAGACTTTTACTCTGTCCCTAGCTACCGAAGTCCCTGGAGACAAACAGAAAGAATATGGCTATTAGATTTTAATAATCAGAATATAAATTTCCATGTAATCATTTTATTGATTGGCCAACACACATATCTTTCATTGTGCCAGATATCTAGCTCTCCAATTCTATTTCTACAGAAAATGCCTTCCATTCTCTTTTGGGGAATACTGGTGGAGTAAACTAAGTGTATATAGGATGGAGGATGGACCAAGGAGTTTTAATTCTTTCAATAATTTTTCTAATATCCAAACAACATTTTTTCTCCCCAAAATCTTTTTTTCTATTAAAGCAGATTATTCATCATGAAATTACATTCCCAAAATAACCCTCCAATTCCATACAGATAAATTAAACTGTATGGTTCAATGTAATTCAACATTTCAGTCCCAGGTTATAAGGACAATGGTATAATATGAAGCTAGGATTCAAGAGTACTTCCTTTTATAAGAAAGAAGGCTGATAATGAAAATAATAAAAGGAAAATGCGGGGGAGATGCCTTAGATTTTAGTATCAATAACGGAATCCTTCAATATTATCTATGAAACAAAATTATTTCTATGCATACAAGTTTAAAAAATTATTCTTTCATAACTTCAGCAAAAAATAAACACAGTTAGATTAACTCCCTCCCTCATGAAGATTTTGTAATTTAAAATATTAGGAATCCATTCTAGCTTTTCCTTAGGCTATCATATCAAAATAGGAACTCTAGCAATGAGTCAAAGGTTTTTGTTTTTATTTTTTAAAGATTACACATGTAAGTCATACATGAAGTATTTGCTATGGCTCATTTCACTTAGGTGATACTCTCCAAGTTCATGCATGCTGTTACAAATCATAGGTTTCCAGTGAGCAATTTAGAATTCCATATAATGAGTTAGCCATTATAAATAAAGCAACAATTAATAAGGGGATATATGAAATAAATAACCGCGCTCCTAGTCTGTGCATAACTGTGCTGTGAAATCAGCAATTTCAATAATTCTCCTTTAATAAATCAAATATATACTTTTCAACACCAGTTTATCAAGTGGAGAGAGAAAATAACATTAAACGGAGAGAAATATACTTTTAAATACATATTCAAATTCCATCATTACAATGTTTCATAAGAAATAAACCTTTTCAGTACTAGAAATTGATACCATCAAATAATGCTGAAGTAAGTGGGATAATGTCTGGAATTTTGAATGAGTCTTTGTTAGTGAGCAGCCATTACTATTTAATGTCAGAATGTACATATTATCTATATGTCTCTCCCTAGAAAAAACTTTTACTTGAATCTCAGCAGTTCTACTGCTTTTAAAAAATCATTCTAGGGCCTCCCTGGGCCACACTGTGAAGTGTGGGTTAGATCCCGGCTGGCTGGTGAGAATCCCACATGGTGCGGCAGACCTCTTCTGTCTTGCCTGCTGCTTCCCTCAGCAGTGTGTTTTGTCAGTCTGCCTGTTCTGTTCCTCACTCTGTCTCTGGTGAATCCTCTTACCCTCCCGCACATATGGCCTGTACCCCAGCACTTGCATAAATAAAAAATAAATCTTTAAAAATAAATCATTCCAGGGCCTCCCCAGGTGGCACAGCGGTTGAGCGCTGGGCTGCGAAGCTGCCTGCAGCCTCTGCAGCACCGGTTCGATCCCCAGCCACCGGCGAGGGGCTCACATGGCGCGACAGACCTCTCCTACTGCGCCTGCTGCTCCCCTCAGCAGTGTATTTCGTCGGTCTGCCTGTTCTGTTCCCCACTCTGGCTCTGGTGAATTCTCTCACTCTCCCATGCTTCTGATTGTACCCAGTGCTTGTATAAATAAATGAATAAAATCTTTAAAAAAAAAAATCATTCTATTAGATGATAGCTGTTGTTAAATAGTTATTATGTAACTTTAGAAAATGTATTTTATCCAGCTGAGGGGGAAACCATATTACTTACACTTTTCTTTATTGCCATTGGTATTATGTAAGAAGTCTCCATCAGAACGTGTTGTAGGAAAGTCATCTTCATCATCTTCTACCACTAGATAAAACATATTAAAGAATATTAGGATGAAACAAAACAGAAACTAACCAGTTTATTCTTATCTTTGAGTCAATACGCTGGATTCTGTTAGTACAAGATCTCTTCATTTTTAATGGTTGACAAAGGTATTCTCAATAGATATGCAGAAGAATGTCTTTAAATACACTATGTTATGTTAAAACCTGTACCCATCCCTTTTTGTTAAGGTATGGTTCATATCTTGAGAGACAAATTATTTTGTCCTTTATCATTCCTGTATCTTCCTGACTACCTTGGGCCATGTCACACATAATTCTACACCGTCTACAAAGGGTTGAACAGGACTGTAACACAGTAACTAACATGCAGAGGATACCTTAACTTGCCTTTGGGAGTTCTTAAATGTATCATTACTTACAGTATGTTAAGTAATTCACACACTGAGTCATCAAGCTAACAGTAAACAGAAGAGCAAGATTAGAACCTTTAGTTTTAATGTGTTATGTAATTTTTGTTTTAAAACCAAACAGTATGTATTTGGTCAAACATGTCTTCTCTAATCTCAAGAGTATCTAGACCTAAAGAATTAATTAAATCTTACTGAAGAGAATCTGAGTGGTGAGGGGATTGGGTTAAGACCTTTACTAGCAATTTTGGCAAAAACATTGTATACGAAAACACAGAACACCTAAAATGAAATGTTTGGTGTTATCATTTCAATGACACATTTAATCAAGAACACTAGTCTTAAAATTTAAGTCACAGAAACAGTTTGATAATTTAATGACAGTTCATCTATAATGAAACCCTAGACAGCAATTCTGATATACACTGAAAGTAGAAAACTATGGTCCAGGTCCATAGTTCACTTTTTACCCAGCATGTATTCTTAAAACACCAGTATTTTTTTTTAAAGATTTACTTATTTATGCATTTAGGAGCTGGGGTGTAGGTCAGAGGTGTAGAGGATGAGAGAATTCACCAGAGAAAGAGTGGGGAACAGAACAGGCAGACTGACTGAAATACACTGCTGAGGGGAGCAGTGGGTGAGACAGGAGAGGTCTGCTACACCATGTGGGTTAGCTCCCTAGCTGGGGATTGAACTTGTGCTGCAGTGGCTGCCGATAGCTTCATAGTGCTAGGACTTAAACCTCTTGCGCCACCAGGGAGGTCCAAAACACCAGTATTTCTTAAGAAAACATTTATAGGGGCAAAAAACCCCTCTTATTGTCTCCGCTATGTCTCCCTCTGTTCTTCTACCCTCCCCACTTTCCCCGCAAATATTTATGTTGCAATTCTAACATCCAGTATCTCAGAATGTGACACCAGTTGGAAACCTGGTCTTTAAAGAGGTAATTAGAATACAGTTAGGCTATCAGGATGGGCCTTCCTCCAATATGACCTGTGTCCTTACAAGAGAAAGTGTGGACATACATATACATACATATAGAACAAAGCTGATGTGAAGACATGGGGAGAAGATGGTTGTCTACAAGCCAAGAATAAAGACCTAGAACAAATCCTTCCCTCATGGCCAACACCTTGGTCTCAACTTTCTACCCTTCAGAAGTGTGAGAAAAGTAATTTCTGTTGTTTAAATGACAGTCTGTGGTATTTCATGATGGTAACCCTAATAAACTAATACATTAGTCTACCACTGATGTAATTTACTCAACTATGTAACAAGCAACTTTAAAGAATATATTTAAAATTATTTTTCAAATCTTCTACTCAATCTGGTTATCACTGCATCCCAACTTCTACTCTTATCACCATCACTTTTGTCCTTCAAATGCTATACATTATTGATCTGGATCATTTATAAGTAAGACAGGAATCCAATCTTGTATATACCCTATTTTTGCTTAAAGGGCTATCTGTAAGCTAAAGAAAGTGATATGTAATATTTTGTTTGATAATTACAAATGTTAAAGAACTAAAAACTTTAAAGTGTATCATATGTAAAGAACTTTACGGCTACTTAATTTAGAGAAAATTATGCACTTTAAGAGGAATCTGGACTTCTGCTTCTGACTAATATGATAGATTAGAAGGATTGAATTTACCCTCTAGTATGTACATGGAAAACTAGACAAGATACCTGAGACAATAGTTTTTCAAGACACTGGATATCAGTCAACAAAGGACAGTGATCCTTGAGAGTGAGAGGATAGATGATGTGAGCCTCACGACTACTTCAGCTATCTTCGCAGACCAGAGTAACATGGAACCCAGGAAGAGCTGGGTAGACTCTGTGAGGTGAAAAAATGGAGCTGAAAGTCCAGAGAGAAAAGGAAAGTATAATTCACAAGACAGGATACTGGAGAGAAGAGAACAAAATAGAAATCTCCGGAGATTGACATAAGGTCCCTTGAATATTCAAGAGAGTACTAACAGCACATATGAGTGAAGGAACCACAAAGGTCTGGGAAAGAACCACCTGAAGGAATTTCAGGGAACAGTATCCAAAGTCTCAATGGGCAGGGCAAGTAACTGTTTCTACAAAAACCCTTGTAATTCAGGAATTGGTTAGAGAATACTGAGTTTTGCTTCAGAAGTGGGGAGAAATCAAAACACATAAGTGCAAGATTCTTACATAAGAAATAGAAAGATATTACTATATCATACTATGTGATAAATTAAATGTGTATGCAATAGCAACCACCAAAATAAGAAAATTATAGCTAAAAAGTCAACAAAAAAATTTAAAAAATTGAATCATAAAAAAATACTGTATTCCAAGAGAAGGTAGGAAAAGGGAACAAAGAGAAGTAAAGACAAAAAAGTTTGAACTCAGATCAAACACCAAGATCAAGAAAGGAAACTATGTCAAGAAACCTAGTTATACTGGGTATGAATTTAGAGCTATTTAGTAACAGTGTTAGGAACAATTAATTTTTGCCTTCAGAGCAAATTAAAGAAAAAAAGCACTAAAAATTAATTTTAAATGTATATGTAGCTCCATTATTTATTTCTTCTATGAGAAAACAGTCAGGGAGATAGAAAAGAAAAAGAATAGTAAAGAGAGAAAAAGAGGTAGAGGAAGAAGAGACTAATTATTCCAGATTAAGAGGATTTGGCATAAACATATACTTGTATCTAAGACATATCAGGGATACATGTATTAGACATAATCATGTGAAATGTCTCATATTACCAAGATAAGAGATATTACACTCTTTAATGCAAAAAATTTTTGAAGATACCTGATATCGGCCAATCAGATTAATTAGGATGCATTATAAACTATACAGTTATATGAACACTGAAAACTGTTACAATGGGGGTTTGCTGCAAAAGTGACTATAATTACCTTTATCACTTAAAGACATTACCCTTTAAGATCAAGAGGCTTTAAATCCATTCATTCTCCAAGTAAAAATAGTGGTAATAGCCTAATTAACCTTTATCCCTTTGAAGTTCATCCTTGGAGACAGCATCTGCACAGGCATCAAAGAACTTCTGTAGCGTATCAACTTGTCTACATAGGATATCTCTAAAGGTTTCCATTTCAGCCAGTTTCTCACGTAAACTGTGGCCTTTCTGTAAAACACAAAAAGGGTGGGATGCAATCCAAGTAAAAAAAAACTAGAATTACTCAGTCCTGTGGTATGTCATCACCTTCTATGGTCTGTATCTTATCACAGAGAGAGCATGGGGTAGGGAGAACTATCAAATTCAATATAATACTCCCAGTAATAGAGTTGAAATTGAATAATCAGTAGACTGATGATGCTAAGCCTGAAGAAGATTGCATGAAGCCCAACAATTTTCTAATATAACAATATTTTCACATTAGACATTATGAGGGAAAATTATGAAAGAATTTGAAAGGGGCAAAAATATTACTTAGTGTTCTTTTAAGGGAATAGTGAGTATCAGCTATGGAATCCTGAGGAAAAGGTGCAGCCTGGTTATTTACAAGTCTTTAGTTTCATTACATTTGTGCTAATTTACAACTCTTTAAATAGTAGAAAATTAAGAGTAATATAAATGATCTTTTCCACAGAATGAATTTTGTTGAAGGGAGATACACTGGTTATTAAGCTGTGGTTATTGATCAATTTTATATATATTAGCAAAATTACTTCAGCATTCTTAGCTCATTAATTACTGAACAAAATATGATCTCTGACATGTGTTCATTTTATATTTATGGGCCAGATTTTATTGCTTAGAAATTATTCTATTAACAACTTCAAATAAATTAAAATTATAGAAAAATTCTTGTAAAAAACTATAAAGTAAGTTCTGCTTATGACATTCAGTATTAAACTCTCAATCTATGTTGTCTTAACTGAAAACATTCATAAGCACAAACCTTGAATGAAGAGGTGGATGTTGCAGAATAGCCACTTGCTCCAGACACTAGTGACACCATTGAGCCATGTCGACGCAAACTAGATTCAGACCCATATCCAGATTCAGTCTAAAAAAGAAAGCAAACTACATGAATAAAAATTATTAAAAAAAAGTAAGTGAAATCAAAAGTTTCCCTACAAATTAGTATGGTTAATATAACAATAATTTATAGTTTCAATTCACTCAGAAATACAGGCAATCCACTGGCACAAACAATTCCTTTCAATTTCTATTTGCCCTTCGATTGTGAAATTTAATGAACTCCAAGGGGGAGACGGGAGGGACTGGAATGTGGAAATAGCATTGATCTGTTTCAGCTGTTGAAGATGAAAAAGTTCTGGAGATGGACACTGTTGACAGTTGAACAAGAACGTACTTAGTGCCACAGAACTGTATACTTAAAATGGTTAAATTGACGAATTTTACATTAAGCATATTTTACCACAAGAACAAAAAAAATAAGTGGCAAACTTCTGATCTATTTCTTCATAAATTATTCATTATGACACAGTTCAACTATCACTGTCTCAATGAACCCTTTTCTATTATACCAAGCAGATTTTCTCTGTATTCTTAACCATTCTTAACATATCACAGTTAAGGAATTTACCAATGAATTATAGTATTTACATTTTGTAATTATTACTGGACTGGATCATCTGAAAGATGATCTATATTTTTTTCATTTTCATAGCTAGTCACTTTATAACACAAAAAAAGTTCTCAGTTTTGCCAATCTGTTAAGTAAACACACCATGAAAGGTAACCGAACTCCTGGATATTAAGGTACACTTAAATGCAGTTCTGCAACAATAGTTTCAACTAATTTTCACCGAACAGGCACTCTTACATAGCTTTTGGTTTACCCACAACATTATTCTAATTGGAATGTTCCTTTAGGTATAAGAACATTAAGTTTTTACACTGACTTAATTTAAATTTTGTTATTTTATGTGAACGATATTAACACTGGTTAAAAACACTTATCACTTATCTCAGACACCTATATGTCATTCATTTCTGAACAGAAATTAATCTAAATTGCCCATTTAAATACATAATCACCCCACAATTTACCATCAAAATTTTATAATATTAAAAAGATTTTGGATATTTACTTGAAGAACATTCAAAACCAATTTTAAATTTAAATCCAAATGAATATACTTGCTCAGTTTAGTTTCTTAAAACAAAATAAAAACACTACAAAGATTTACTGAAGATTCTTCACTATAAAACAAAAATATTATATCTCTTTTTAGGTTCTACTATTTAAAACAAGTAAACAAATTGAGTTCTTTACAACAAAATATTAAATGAGTTATGAGTTCTTTATAACAAAGAACTCATAGAGCTCATAGGACAAATGATTACAGAAATAATTGATATTGCTATTTTAAGTAATGGACAGTAAATGAACGTGGAAGATGAGAATTTGGTGAAAGTATATTTCTATCGCTAACAAGGTTTCATTAAAATAAATTCTGGGGTGTGGTATGGTAACATGTATCTGAGAAGTGTGAACCTAAATCTTACAGCATAAAGCCAGTATAATCTCAATAATAAATACAATTAAAAACAAATTCCACTCTAAGTTACAGAAATTAGTCCAAGAAAAAAGAAAATAGTGTACTTATGAATACCAATCCTATCATTATTCAATTTAAATAGTGGATGTCTATAACTCTATTTCAGCCAGTAACTGCACTGGGAGAAATTTAATAATTTCAGTGTTTAACAAATGTAAACATACACAAACTGATTCCTCAATGTTTAAAAATTTGTCTTTCTGAAAATGTCTATAATTGTGCAAATGATACTGCCAATATGTAAAAAATTCTTGATGGTTTTAATGTAACATGGAGTAATTTCATGACATAGAGACAAAATGGAGCTACCTCAAAACATTTTGGGTGTTACAGACTAGAAATCAATAATTAAAATTATTAAAGAAAGAGCTTCAAATGGTATAATTGCCTTTCTTATCCACATATGACTTTGATTTAGTTTTAAATTTCTCTCAAAAATCTATCATCAAAGATACTTTATAAAAGAAAAACAACTTTTGATAGGAGCTAGAAATAATTCCAAAGAAGTTACAAAACCATTCTAAAAAGTGGCAATTTGTTGACACATCTACTTTAGCTTCCCAAGATGCCCACTTTGAAAGCAACAAATAATACTCCATTCTGAATTTGTAAGGTCTGCTTTTTGAAGGTAGGTTAGAATGAGGGGAATGAGGATAGAAAGGTATAGAATAGTTTATGGTCACAAATGATATACTATTAAATGTTCTTAGAAACTGTAATATGCGGTCCTCCCTGGTGGCGCATGGGGTTAAGACACAGCCTCTGAAGCTATCCGCAGTCACTGCAGCACAAGTTCGATCCCCAGTCAGGGAGATACCCACACGGTGCAGCAGACCTCTCCTGACTTGCCCGCTGCTCCCCTCAGCAGTGTACTTCAGTCAATCCACCTGTTCTGTTCCCCACTCTGTCTCTGGTGAATCCTCTCACTCCCCACACCTCTGGCTGTACCCCTGATCTTGTATGCATAAATAAATCTTTTTTAAAAAACAAACTGTAATATGCTTGGAGAGTGAGCCTACTGGTCTATGGTAAAGGACTATGGGTGCTCTATTTCTCTAAATCATACATATTTTTAAAACCAATGTTACTTAAAAATTTTTTAACATGCTTTCAAAATCTCAGCGGTATGATTTGGGAGATAATACTTTAAAGGCGCATTACCTGTTTCTGAATTCCACTCATTTGTCCACAAAAAAAGTTCAGTTTACTCACAATCTCTAAACACCAATATAGTAATTAACACCAAATTGTATCTAAAATTAATGCAGAATTCAAATAGTCACTTCAAGTATATTTTTTTCCTTTCAACATACCTGCTTTGTCAAAACAAAAACCTAAAAAACAGAAACCACTTCTTTTCCAATTTTATAAGATTTGGAAATTCATATTCAAATTCATATTCCTGAACATGGTTTTGCAGACACAAAATGACATTTTGATTCAATGGATCAGTTACTGAACACATCCTATAGAGAACAAATTTACTTTTATATACCTCAGTAATGAGCCCACATCTTTGTTCTAACACTTGTTTTACCAATAAAAAAAGTAGTGTTTGAGCCACTAGAGGGGGATATTAGCATTTTCCAAGTAGCAGTATACCTGGAAAGCAGATACACACAAAGGTTACTGTTGGTTAAAGCACAACAGTAACCTTTGGACTAATTCCTTTACCTGTACATTTACTGTTTTGTATCTTAATATTTAGAGCACATTTTAAAAATGTGGTAAATTAAACCATACAGTTCAAAGTCAGAAATGCCTAAGATGTGATATGGAAAGAAATGTCCCCTAAAGTTACAGCTAAATTTTAGTTTGGTTTAATCATGGGGGAAATTAAACTTATATATTATCATTTTGTAGTCTTTCATCATTTCATTTCCATATGTCAAAAGTAGTGGTATAAAATAGCAAAAATTCTGTTTTAACAGCACCTAACTTTTGAAAATCTGTTATTGAGCCAGTCATGTCCTTGACTGTCATTAGACAACAGACTATTTAGATAGTCATTGCCTATTTTTCAATCCAGTTTTTATGCCTTGTTGTTGGACTGTACTAGTTTATATATTTTGAATATTAATCTCTTATCTGACATGGTTTGCAAGTATCTTCTCCAATTCAGTTGGCTGCCTTTTTGTTTTAATGATGGTTTCTTTCACTGAGCATTAAGTTTTTCAGTTTGGTATAGTTCAAATTGTTTATATTCTCTTTTCTTTCTCTTGCTGTTGAAAACGAATCCACAAAAACATCACTAAGGTCAATGTCAAAAAGCTTATGACCCAAGATTTCTCCTAAAGGGAGATTTTTTTTGTTTGTTTGGCTTTGAGAGGAGCGTCGATGAAAGATATGAATATTTTATATTTATATATTAATTCCAGGAAGCCATATTGGATAAATTATAACATAATAAAAGCTAACACCTAAGACACCCACTTTGTCCTAGGTAAGAGGCTAGTGATTTCAGTGCATTAATTCATTTAATCCTTTTTTAATAGCCTGTGTGAAATAGGTCTTATCACACTCATTTGTAGTGTTGTCAGAGTCACATAGCTCTAAAGAAGACAATTTCAAATTTCAGTGTCCATGATGTTAACTATATTGCAATGCTGCCTCAACACCCAGAGACTTGCTTCTATAACTTTTATTTTTTTTATTATTTTTTTTTTATATAGACGCATGTTTTACTTATTTATTTATTTGTTTGTTTTGTTTATACATGCACTGGGTACAGTCAGAAGCGCGGGAGGGTGAGAGAATTCACCAGAGCCAGAGCGGGGAGCAGAGCAGGCAGAAGGACCGAAGTACACTGCTGAGGGGAGCAGCGGGCGGCAGGAGAGGTCTGCGCGCCATGTGGGACCCTCCTCCAGTGGCCGGGGAGCAGCCGGGGATCGAACCGGCACTACAGAGGTTGCAGGCAGCTTCGCAACCCAGTGCTCAACCGCTGCACCACCGGGGAGGCCCGCTTCATAACTTTTAAATCTGTCCTTTTTCCCACCATCGTTTTCTAGGTCTAGTCAGGTAGTATCTCATTTGGATAAATCCTTCAGCTTTTTAAATTTTTCTTTCTTGTTCCTCTTGAATTTTTTTTTAAGGAGTTCTTGTTGCTTTAGTGTCTGATGAACTGCTACTAAGTTCTCATTAGATGTTCTTTAGATATTATACCAAGCTTTCCTGGTCTTCTGTATTCATACACACACACACACACACACACAGTTAAATGTTTACCAAATGTAAACTATTTACTAAATATTTGCCACCAAATATTGTTAAATACATATATTGCTTTCAAGGTAAAATGTCAGAAACAAACAATATTTACAATTCTTTTCAGGAATGTTGCATAATGACACATTAAGGTATAAATTCTTTTGACTTATGATTCTTAAAGGAGTAACAGCAAAAGTGATGCAAAATCTTCAGGTTATGATTAAGCCACATTTTACAACAATTGTGTAAAATAGCAATAGTTCCATTCAAC